ACTTTAGCTGTTACAGGTTTGTTTCCTTTACTTACAGTGCCCCTGGGTTCACCGTGCCGGACACCTGGACTGACCACTCAGTACGGTGTGCTGTCCTCTCTCTTCTCAAGGAGACCAGTCAGTCAGCTCTGGCTAAAGAGTGTCCACTTACTCAGGTAAAGTTAAAATAAACCAAAATTCTCAGGTAGACTTGATACTGATAAATCATTAATTTTAGTGGAGTTTTTTTCCTTAAAATTGTGATAATTCTTTTTCGATGAGTTTATAATTTCATGAAAAGGTTAACAGGATAAAATTGGCATGGATTTTATGAGCACAAAATCATTTGCAAAGGACATATTTTTGTGAAACCACAAAATTGAAATCCAACAAAAATATCTTATTATACAGTATATTTGACTTTTTTCATTTCAATAAAAAAATTGGAGAGAATGGCTCTTTTCAAAACCAGTTATCAGGATAACAACAAGGTTTTTTTATCTAGTGGCAGAGAGGTCACTTTATAACACTGGGTATTTGTTGTGTAGAAACTTTCTTGACTTTCAATAACCAAACCTAGAAAATACAGTAGGCTTGTAGGCCTAAACACTCACCTGACTAATAGATATGGTAATTTCTGCTTGATACCTAAAGCAAGACACACATACTTTACATTATGTGTAGGGCTACATGTATGTAGTACCCATGAAAATCTTTATCCATGATGTGATAATGTAATTACAAGAGAAATTTAAACTTTTTAAAAAAATGTAGCTTGTCTGTCATTCACTCTATTGCATCAAAATAACTGTACCCAGTGACAGCCCAGTCAGTGGAGTATAGGTCTACAGAACCTAGAGTGAAGCCCAAAGTTAGTGGTTCACTTCTCCTACTTATGATAAAACATCAGACCTAAAAATGCATGCTACCATCTGCGTCAATTAGTTTTATTTGTATAAACAAATAAAAGTAGAATATAAGACATTGTTTTCTTTATTCTATGTTTCTATGTTCCTACATAAATTCTGAAAAACACTTCACTCTGACTTATAAGCTTCAATATATCTTCTTTTCTTCTAGTCTACCATCTCAAACATAGCTAACTGGAAGTATGTGAGTAAGCTCAGCAGCGAGAAATGTCGCGAGTTTGGGGATTGGTACAAAATACATATCCAAAAAATCCAAGGTAGGTATAAACTTAAGACTTTCCCTTTACCACAGGACCTGTTACATATCACATGACCAATCACAGGACATGTTACATATCACATGGCCTATCACAGGACATGTTACATATAACATGACCAATCACAGGACATGTCACATATAACATGACCAATCACAGGACATGTTACATATCACATGACCAATCACAGGGCATGTTACATATCACATGGCATATCACAGGACATGTTACATATCACATGACCTATCACAGGACATGTTACATATCACATGACCTATCACAGGACATGTTACATATCACATGACCAATCACAGGGCATGTTACATATCACATGGCCTATCACAGGACATGTTACATATCACATGACCTATCACAGGACATGTTACATATCACATGACCTATCACAGGACATGTTACATATCACATGACCTATCACAGGACATGTTACATATCACATGACCTATCACAGGACATGTTAAATATCATATGACCTATATATCATACAACACATTATATTTGATTGTGGTGTCTGTATACTTAACAGGACTGACTGTAACTGACCATGTAACATGCATGCCACATTTTTGTTTAACTCAGACTACACAGTAACAGAATTTGAACATTTTTATTCCTAAATCATTACAAAATTAACATAGTTGTAGACCATATGTCAGAACATCTTCATGTTTTTTCAATTCAGACTACGCAGTAACAGAATTTGAAAATTTTATTTTTAAAATCATTACAAAATTAACAGAGTAGTAAACTATATATCAGAATGTCTTTGTTGAAGTTACATTTTGTTGCAGGTTTCTCTAATGACAAGTCCATCCCTAAAGATACTAGAATGACATTCCACCCGGAGCATGAAGTTCCAGTCCTGAGACAATGGTACAAATCATGTAAAAATCCAACAAATGCAAAATTCAAATCCTTCGCTGAAGAACTCAATAAAGGTCATGTTCGCTTAGAAAGACCAAAGATAACGGCAGCAAAGATTAAAATATGGTGGAAAAATGAGCGACAGAGGGAAAAACGAATCAGTCAAAAGAAACAGGACACCAAAGACGAATGCGATGAAACATCTCAAGAATCTACACAACATTCAAGTGATGTGGAGAAAACTAGATCACTGTTATCATGTGACCTAGATAAAAGTAGGTCAATGTTGCTGTGGCAACTGGATAAAAGTAGTTCTCTGTTAGGTTTTGAGACTTCAGGGAACGTTCCCCATCTGATGGACAGTCCTGGTGTTTCACATACTTCAGACATAGATATGAATTCACATACAAAAGGAAATGTAGCAGTGTCACATGATGTGGCTTCACATGCCAAGGCTATGGAGAGTGTCCATCTCAGGCTTCAGCAAGATGATTTCCAACAGGGCTCACAGGATTCATCTCTGTCACATGAACTTTCTAGATCACATGACATATCAGATGAACTTTCTCAGTCACATGACATGTCACATGATCTCACCAAGGACACAAGTTGGTCCCAAGAAGGATAACTCTATGCTGTTATCATAAAAATCCTATTCATCAAATTGATAATGTTTTAGCTGAACTTGACAAGAACTAAACTACATGGTATTGGCATTTATAAAATTCAGTTTTGTTGATATCTTGTTCTTGTGTTGTTCTACAATTTTACTTGAAAATTAACATCAACATTCTCTTAGTGACAACATCAAGTCAGGAGGTGTGAAGACAACACCGTCAAGTTTTCTATCATGGATACTAGGTTTCTTGACCCCTTGTACCAAAAAGAAAGCGGGGTGATTGATGGAAATATCACAACATCAATTCATAGCAATCAATCACAAAAAGTGCTGGATCTGAACTCATAAATAAGTTATTGTCCTACAATGGGAATGTGTTAAAGGGACATAACTCTACTGTAGCCTAACATTAAAGTAAAACAACATGATTATCGTTCTTAATGATCTTTAGACACGCTGTCTCTTGAGATATCAGTTTTTGAGACAGTCTTCTCCTGATGTTTTTTTTCTGGAGACCCATTTTCTCACTTGTTTTTCGAGATGTGTGTTCTCTCGAGAGTGTGTCCTCTGTAATTGCCTGTTCTCATAAGGCGTGTCATGTTAAATCATGTGATTTCTTGTGAATTTGCCCACTTCAGTTGCCTGTTCATTTAAGACTTACTGTGTAAAGACATGTGTTCTCTTCAGAATGCATCCTCTGAAGCTGTCTATTCACTCAAGACGTGTTTTCGTTTGACAGAAATGTCTTGCTTTACGGAGGCACCTGTCCACTTGATACAACCTAACTATTAAGATAGGCACCAGTCCACTTGATACAACCTGACTATTAAGGTGCTGTCCACCTGATACAACCTAACTATTAAGGTGCTGTCTACCTGATACAACCTGACTATTAAGATAGGCACCTGTCCACTTGATACAACCTGACTATTACGATAGGCACCTGTCCACTTGATACAACCTGACTATTAAGATAGGCACCTGTCCACTTGATACAACCTAACTATTATGGTGCTGTCCACTTGATACAACCTAACTATTAAGGTGCTGTCCACCTGATACAACCTAACTATAAGATAGGCACCTGTCCACTTGGTACAACTAACTATTAAGATAGGCACCTGTCCACTTGATACAACTAACTATTAAGATAGGCACCTGTCCACTTGATACAACCTGACTATTAAGATAGGCACCTGTCCACTTGATACAACCTGACTATTAAGATAGGCACCTGTCCACCTGATACAACTAAGTATAAGATAGGCACCTGTCCACATGATACAACCTGACTATTAAGATAGGCACCTGTCCACTTGATACAACCTGACTATTAAGATAGGCACCTGTCCACCTGATACAACTAAGTATAAGATAGGCACCTGTCCACATGATACAACCTGACTATTAAGATAGGCACCTCTCCACATGATACAACCTGACTATTAAGATAGGCACCTGTCCACTTGATACAACCTGACTATTAAGATAGGCACCTGTCCACATGATACAACCTGACTATTAAGATAGGCACCTGTCCACTTGATACAACCTGACTATTAAGATAGGCACCTGTCCACTTGATACAACCTAACTATTATGGTGCTGTCCACTTGATACAACCTAACTATTAAGATAGGCACCTGTCCACTTGATACAACCTAACTATTATGGTGCTGTCCACTTGATACAACCTGACTATTAAGATAGGCACCTGTCCACTTGATACAACTATTAAGATAGGCACCTGTCCACTTGATACAACCTGACTATTAAGATAACGTTTCTCTTGAATGAAGATCTTCAACCTTCACAACATTTATCATACATTTAACAAATATTGCATGGCCTTGAGGGTAAACATCCATATCCTGAAGAGATATATAATAATTGTTATATTGTTATTGTAAGAAATCTACCTAACATGATGGTTAATTTAAAGTTTGTTTTATACAAGTATCAATCTTGTTACAATAAACAATGAATAAGTTCTTAGAAAAGCAATAAAAACAAATACACTATGTTTTTCGAAATGAAAAATTCACATTAAAAAAAAACCCTGCAAAAACAAACAACGAAATCAATCAGCAGACATCCTGAAGGCTTTTCTATCTCTGTCCACAGTGAGTTTTCTACAAAGGGGGATAACTCAGGCTGGTATAATGATGTCACAATATATCACATAGGCCCATTTGCTTTCTATACTAGAATATTGACAGGAGCAACTAGTAGCATCATACAGACACTAAAATGAATGAGGTATAAAACAAAGAAGGTAAATCATTTCAAGTGGTCTGTTAAAACCGATCAATCAAAAATAAAAGGTACACAAAGTTTTAGCCAATCAAAATACATTTATTTCTATTCAATAAAGATATATATATTTAACAATGTATTTACATACATCTATAACAACAGTGTATTACACAAGGAATGTTGTATTTTACACTTGGGCAGGAGAGATTTTACTTTGGAGGGAATGGAGAATTTTACCACTCAAGAACATATCATCAAATGGTTGTATTTCTTAGTCAAGAAATGAACAAAAATTTTCTATGTTAATTTTTTCATTGACATCTTTCAAATATCAAATTTCAAATTCCATCCTCACAAAAAGAATTTCTCAATAATAACCTGCTTTACAGTATTTAATAGTTATGTTTATTGGTGCTTTATGTCCCATTAACAGCCAGGGTTATTTAAGGACGTGCCAGGTTTGGATGATGGAGGAAATTTAGAGTTCCCGGAGAAAAACCATTGATCTGTGACCAGTACCTTGGGACTGTCCCGCTTAGACCTTGACCCATGACCTAAAGGTAGAGGCCTAGTGATAAAAAGGGCCTGACGCGTCAACCACATGGCCACCACCACCCCATATTTAACAGTTAGTAAAGCTTAAACATGTGGTACTCTAGCTAATACTGATACAATACATTTCTTAGTAAACTCTAAGGATGTAAGTGAAGAAGGTGATGTCTTCTGTTTCTCTGTTAAAACATTTAACAATAACCTGGGTACCAGAGTATTGCCTGTTTGAGATGGCTGACACAGTGTACCAGACATCACAGGAATGCTATCTCTGTTAGGTCTCTAGTTTGTCATTGTTCTTAAGTATCAGCCATTACTACTGCGCATTTATGGCAATGCCGATATCTCCCTTCATCCATCAAATTTTTAATCACAAAGAGTGCCATTATAACAGAGCTTTCTAATGAGAAGATAGTTACAACAGGACAAAGGATTGGACAGACGAGATAACGACGACACTCCTCACTACTTTTTAGTAAATAAAAAAGTAGTACCATGCCAGGCTGTATTTATAAATGTGACGTAGTACTGTATATATTCAGTATTTAGCCCCATCACCAGTAATAAGCCCACCCCCATTGCTATTGCTGCTCAGTAAAAGAATCCAACATACACTTTTGATTTATATATCTACCCACTGGGCAGATATAAATAGAATATTTCGTAAGTCTAAGTACCCGTCCTATATATGGTCAAACCTCGTTATTTCACACTCGTATCACTCAAGGACTCCATTTGATTCATATTTTATGGGTACTGGCTAGACATCACACCAGACATTCTACTCGCTTAAATAAAAAACTCAAGATAAATGAAACAGTTTTCCCATGGACCCACAGCCTTCCAGATCATAAGGTTTCCACTATATTAAAAAGTACATTCTAGGAAACCATTGATGAAATTTCTGTGAAAAATATTAACTTTAATATTAAAACACACCAATGATTTAATTATTTGGGTTGAGGTGATTCCAGAGAAACCAAACTGTCTAAATCAATAGTATTGATTTCAACAAAATAAAACGGAGGCAAAATGAAAGAAAAAATTGAATTCAGGGGAAAACAATTCATCTGACTTTCAAAAAAATGTAAACGTATATTAAGTTGTCCTTCATCAGATATAGACTTCTAACAGTAAAGTGAAAATGATGTAGGTCTGAAGAGGACAACTCTACCCATATTTGTCCTGCCCTTACAAGCTGTGACCATACAATTAATGATTTCAGTTTTATCTTTGGTCCTGGAAGGTTCTTCCAAAATTTTATCAAAATCTGTACAGTAGTTTTACAGAAATCCAAATCTGTACAGTAGTTTTACAGAAATCCAAATCTGTACAGAGGTTGTACAGAAATCAAAATGTGTACAGAGGTTTTACAGAAATCCAAATCTGTACAGAGGTTGTACAGAAATCCAAATCTGTACAGTAGTTTTACAGAAATCCAAATCTGTACAGAGGTTGTACAGAAATCAAAAACTGTACAGAGGTTGTACAGAAATCCAAATGTGTACAGAGGTTTTACAGAAATCAAAATCTGTACAGAGGTTGTACAGAAATCAAAATCTGTACAGAGGTTTTACAGAAATCCAAATCTGTACAGTAGTTTTACAGAAATCCAAATCTGTACAGTAGTTTTACAGAAATCAAAACCTGTACAGAGGTTTTACAGAAATCAAAACCTGTACAGAGGTTTTACAGAAATCAAAACCTGTACAGAGGTTTTACAGCAATCAAAATCTGTACATAATTTTAAGATGTCCTCCATATGAGTGACACTGTCAGCATCTAATCTAATAAATACTAAAATATATCAAACTATATCACAGAAATTATAACACAAGGTTTTGTTATCATAACTTATGGCTAATGAACCTGAACATATATCCAAGAAAACAAATGCCCTAGAAACTTATCAAAGCAAACGACTTAAACTTTCTTCTTATTCAACACATTGATGGTTTGTTGACAGTCTGAGTGACTGAGTGTAGTCATGGATACCTCGCCACGGAAACTGATAATGGCTGTTTCATCACCAAATTCAAAATTCACCACTTACAGATGGTTATCATCAAGGTGAAACGTTCAATATAAAGGTCATAGTTAAATAGTTCACAATTTGCAAAATGTCAAGGTCAAAGATGACGGTGAACAATTTTTTAGTCAAGGTCATCTTCAAGTACATTACAAGGGTATTTTGTTTTAAAGTTCGATGGAGGCCATCTTGTGAAATCAGGATTGGTTTTTTACATGTTGCCGAGGGGATCATCAAATATATCATTAGAATCAACAGCAGTCTTTTTCTCAGCAGCTGGTGTGGTTTTCTTGGTCTTCTCCTTCTTGGTCGCCTTGGTTTTGGATGTAGTATTACCAAAAATGTCGTCTACAACAAGGAAAGATAATTTACTTTTACACAAATCAGTACCTTACACTTTCTAAAAGATTTCTTACTCCTGAAAACACTTTTGAATCATCAATAAATACCCTTAAAAAAGATTTCCAACATACCTACGAGGCATATAGCAGGGATCAAACACTGCGACATTATTTTGACAAGGATCCCAAAGGGATCTTGTCACCCACCACTGTTTGATCTTTTTATGTTCTTTTAGATCCTTTCCCTTTTTTCCTCTTTTTTCCGCTGTTTTTCTCTTAATTAAATGAAATTTGAAAATTCCTCTTAAGAAATAGTGATAAGTATTTTAAACTGTCAAACCCAAGATGGTGGCCAAATGGCCATTTTGAATTTTTGATCAGTTCTATAATCAAAAGAGCACAGGTAGGAAGTAAGGCCAACACAATTACTAATTTGAGAAAGATCCTTCCAATATCTTAACAAATAACAGAACTTTCACTGCAGCCATTTCTCAAGAAATTTCATTTTAAAAATCCAATATGGCCACCTGTAAGTGATTTTGTATTTTCATCAGTCCTAAAACCAGTAGGACATAACTATAGACAAATACCTACGTATGAAATTAGAGTATGGTTCCTACAGTAACTTCCAAGAAATAGCGATAACAATCTTTCTTTGATGAATCCAATACAGCCATTTTTCAGCTACTTTGTTTTGCCAATCAATATCAAAACCAAATAGGGAGCAACTAGGGACCAAAGTGAATATAATCTTCAAATGAAATTTAAGAAGGATCCATCCAACACTTTGCATGAAAGAGCAAAAGAAAACTTTCATTGTGAAAATCGACGATGACTTGTCTACTAGCCATCTTGTTGTTTTTTATCTACCCCAATACTGAATACACATAACTAGGGACCAATGCAAAACTAGATATGAAGTTTGAGAAAGATTCACCAAACAAAAGTAGAGAAAAGGTGACAACAAACCATATATGACCGTCAAAAATAAAATGACCACTTGTTGACCATCTGGGTGGTCGGGGCGGCACAGCGGTAACACACTGGCCTTTCACCTAGCCGTCCATGGTTCGATACCCGGAATGGATGTGAAAAGGTAGGGGGTCACCTGTCCGACCACACTGGTTTTCCCTGGGTAATTCAGTTTCCTCCCACAGTAAGACCCTCCCCGTGCTTCCATCAGGGTCAACAAGAGTGGTTAATATAAGTTTCAAAAACTTGTTTTGCAATTGTTGTAAAATAAATAAAGCTTATTAAAAGATGTTGACCATCTTGTTTTTCCAAACATGGACTTAGCACAACAAGGATTAATTTTCTGAAAGATCTAGAATTTTAAATGTTCTTCATTTTATCCACATCCTGGGATGAACAAACCGCAGTAAACCAGTAATATCCTTAACATACCTAAACCATCTGTGTCTTTAAACAAACTCTTAGAGCCGGTTGCTGCAGTCTTTTTCTTCTTCTTCTCCTTCGGTTTAGAGGCGGGGACGTCAGCAAAAATGTCTGTGTTGTCTTTAAATAAATCTTCGTCTTTCGTCTTGGGAGCTCTCTTCACTTGGCGCTTCTTTTTTTCTAAGGGCTTTCCAAACAGGTCATCATCCTGAAAATGGATTGTGGAATTCGGGTTTTATTTTTTTCCAAAATCTTAATTGAATAATGTAAACCCTTATGTATGTATAATGACTCTCTCTTCCTTCACAGGTACAAACTTTTATCTGCATTCAAACATTAAGAGATAGATAAAATGTTGGTATACACGCACAAGTTCTCAGGAAAATAGGACATGTTAGCAAGGTTTTGCTGTAACTGCAGAAATAGGAGTGTTCCAAATTAAAAACAAAAACAAAAAAAACCATGTGGCCCATTATGTATCACTCACCTGGTTTATTTGATGAAATTGAATAATTTAAACCATAGGAAAGTACTCAAAACAATTCTATCTATTTTCCCATAATAAGCTTTCCTCTCCTCCCAAAGAGGGTTAAATGTACTGTTTTGTACAAAACCTAGTTCTTTTCACTAAGGATGTCTTCAGTTCCAACTGGGGAAATATTTTATAATATTTGTTCTATTTCCACTATTTGGCCTAACCCCTCCTACCCTAGGGGGCTGTACTTTATTCTACATACATTGATCCCCTTCATCCAAGCATGACCCATACCAAATTTGGACAAAATCTGCGCATTCACTATTGGGCCCTCCAGCACCAAACGGCCTAAATCCCATTTCTACAAAACTGATTCCTCTTAACCAAAGGATGCCTCAGACTTAATATGGGCAAAATGTAATCTTTCATGAAGAAGGAGTATGATCTTAAAAAACTGATCTATTTCCCCTATTGGGTCCCACCACTCTCAACCCAGGAAGCCCCTAGACCCATTGTTTATACAAAATCAATTCCTATTCACTCAAGGATGCTTCAGACCAAGACAATATCCTGCAATTCCTGCAGAACAAGATATATTTTAAAGAAATTGAAAATACAAAATTGGTTCCCTTTTCCCTAAGGATACTTCAGACCAAATATAGTTAAAATCTGCTAAGTCTAGTAGCAATTCAAAGGACAAGATGACAGACGCTGGATGCCAAACAAATTGATTGGCGATTGAAGATAGATGCTATGCTGTCCCCAAGCTTACTTGGTCCTTTGGGCTAGAGGGGCTATAAGGATAATGTCTACTCTCAAATGTTAATTAAAATCTTACCTTTTTTTCCTCTACACATAATTTTTTTTTCTAATTTGTCCATTGTGAAACACAATTTCCACCGCAACAAATGTGGTGGGACTGCACCATGAAAATGACACCCTCTTGAAACTCAGCAAGACATTAAATTATTTATTACTTACCTCATCTGGAGTTGGTTTTTCCACCTTTTTCACAGTGTCTGTGGCTCCAGCAAATATATCATCATTGTTCATGTGATTTTTTTCAACCTCAGGTTTTGTTTCTGTAAAAACACACCACAGAAAAAATAAATAATCATAAAGCCTTATCAATCTTCCCAAGGGGTCAGGTGTGACCTTTGACCCTTTGACCAAAGACCATCAAAATTTAATTTTACTATTTAAATCTTACCACATAAGTACCTGCTGTTTTAGATACACTATATATAAAATCTACACATACCTGGTTTTTTGGGTGTGTTAGCATCCTTAAATATATCACCATCACCTTGGAAATCATTTTTTGATACTTCATTAAATGGCTGAACTTTAGATTTATCTCCCTTTGTGGTTGGATTGGAAGCGAATAAATCATCATCCTCCGGTAACTGTTTTGACACTTTTGGCGATGAAAATATATCATCTACGACAGACGACTTTACAGATTTTTTAGATGATTTTGATGCAAATAAATCATCGTCATCGTCATTGGTCAATATTGCACTTTTCTTCTTTGACGATTTACTAGAAGACACATCAAAAATATCCTCACTAACCGTTGACTTCACAACTGATTTGGTCGGACTTCCAAACAAATCATCATCATCCACCTTTTTTGATTTGGTAACTTTAGTACCAGAAGAGAAAGCTCCACTGGAGAATATGTCATTTTCTTCTACAGAAGGAGCTGGTTTCACAGGGATTGCAGAACCACCATTCAATAAGTCATCATTACCAAAAAGATCGGAGGTCAGTTGGGGCACTCGGTCATTCACAACGGTTTTTGGCATTTCTTTGGTGATGTTTCCACTAGGTGGTGCTGAAGGTGAAAATAGATCACTACCGCTACTGTCTACCTGTGTTTGCCGAGCCACACGACTTGGAGGGCGGCGCTTTGTTTGTATTCTTGCACGATCCTGGAAAAATAGAAAATATCACATATCTTCTAATTATCAAAGACTTTGGCAAAATATTTTTGAAAATACATGTTTAAGTGACATTTATTTTAGGTAAATTGTTCTGTTTTTTTTTTCTTACTTACTTAAAGTAAATCGTTTTTCTTTAGAATACAGTACAAATTTACCTGATCTGATGTCATTTTACATATACAAACCATCATTTTATAATTTTAATCACCAGAAAATACATGCAGAATATTTTTCAGAGAAACATCCTGTATTGTGTAAGGTGTCTGTAGTGACTGAGTAATCATGTCTTATGAGACATGTAAAATATTTTCCATCTCTACCTTGGAGGCACTGTGTAGAGTTTTAACTTCAGCAGGCTGATCAAATCCTATAGCGACAGGTTCCGGCTCCTTCACTGGTGGGGCCGCCCCGGGGAGAAGGGCTGCTGGATTAATTCCTATGTTTGCCTGTAACAAAATATGTCATCACTATCACCACTACATCAGCGAAGTCAGTGTGGTAGATCATCTATCATTTCATAATCTATCTGCGAAAAATACACTTTTAGGCTCTGAAACGTCTTCGTTAGATTTCTGTAAATGCTGTTTATATTAACATAAAAAATCATTTATCGGTTTTATCATAAAGAGCTGGCTGATCATTTATACTGAACTTCCCAAACACAGTTACTTGATATCTTGATTTTGTACCAGTCTATACCTGTATCCACTAAGAAAATGAAGTACTATTCCTGGGGTTAAGATTTTGAGGTTTCACAAAATTAAAAAAATTTTTTCGTTAGCTCTTAATCTCTTAAATAAATCTTACTTATGTTACCAGTGGTACTACAAATCATGTCAGTATTGTCTCTTTATCATTTCGTGGACATATAAAAGATCCTAGAATAAAGGTAACCAAATATTCAACAGCCCCTACAAAAATAAATCATTCTACTGTACTCTTTTCTTTTAATGGATCTTTATTTTTCAGATTCCAATTCTGAAAAAAGAGAAAACTTTTCAGCTCAGGAAGAACTGTCCTGACGATCCGTACCTTGAGTTTTCCTATTTTACCAACTGGGCCCTTTGTTGGAGACCTTTGCTCAGGTCCCTTGGTTGGAGACCCTAGCCCTGGCCCCTTGGTTGGAGAAGAAGGTGAAAACCCCTTGTTTGGAGAAGGAGGTTCTGGCTGTTTAGTTGGAGATGGGAGTTCTCTCCCCTTAGGTGAAGTTTCCTTTTCAGTTACAGATGCTGAGGGCTAATGGAAAAAGGCAACACGATAGTCAGTAAGCCAAGCACACACAGCACAACACTACAACAGTTAAGAAGCCACTAAACTGCACTAAAGATAGGTATAATCTACTAAATAAAAGACATTAATGGGACAAACACATTAACATTATGTATGACAGCACAGTTACTGGTACATTAAAATACTATTTAGAACAAAAGTTTCTTTTCTGCCATTGTCTCTATATATTTTGGTTTTCTCACCCTAAGATTTAATGATGGATACTAAAATGACAATTGAGAAAGAGTTATATAATGTAAGTCCTTTTGGGTTCCTAATCTTAAACGGTGAAAATATGACATAGCCAAACCAAGGTGTCAAAATTTTACTAAAAATAGCAAAATTGACCCCAAAGAAAATAAACCTTTTGTCCAGTCTTTGGTCACTTTCTGAAATTTTTATACGGAAGATTTCACAAATTCAAAATTTCAAGCATAAAAAAGTACATCTATGAATATTTCAATATTTTTAAAAATTAACACTGTATTGCAAGCTACTTTCTCTGGTAGTCAAATTATATTTAGGAGATGATATGAACACTTTAGAAAATTTTCTATAACTTTAGATCTAATTTGGTGCCCAATATCAGGAGTGTCTTTCCAAGATAGGAAGGATTGGGCAATATTCTGTACTGATAAACATTAAAAAAAATTCTGGAAAACAAAACTTGTGTTCGGTGTTTTGAACATAACAAGAGGCCAAATGGACCTGCATTGCTCACCTGTTTGTTGACATTAAGATGTGTAACGTTAAAAGTTACTGAACAAGAATTTAAAACAGTTTACCTGGTGATGATGAAAGTTTAACAAGGCCATGCAGTTGAACACACTTAGAAGCCATTATATCAGAATATTATTGATGAGGTTTCAATATCTAAGATTTTCTGGTCATTCAGAATAAGTTGTTATAAATGTTCTCAACAAATTTGGCCAGGGTGATGTTGAATGCAGATCAACATGGTCATTCATTGGAACAGGTTATACTGTAATTATTCTGTAGATTGACACTGTCAGTATAGCATTAAGATAGGGACTGTGAGTGGATGGCCAATGAGAAAAAGTAAGCACTGATTTCACTAGATAGTACAGTATAAAGGTTTGTTTTAGTTGTAAGGTCATATCCAGGAATTATTTGAAGTTTCAGAGGGAAGACAGGATAGTGTTTAAGGCCAATCTTCATTATAGATAAAAATATACAATGCATCTGTTTATTATAAGGTGGAGAATCGGGTAGATTTAGAAAATCACCTTGAAAGTAGGTCAAAGTCATTCATTTGAACAAAGTTGGTAGCACTTCATCTTAGCATGCCACAAGTCCAAAATCAGTACCCTGAGCCTTTCAGTTAATGGGAAGAAGTTGTTAGAAGATTTTCATACATTTTACCCCTGTGACCTTGAAAGTAAGTCAAGGTCATTCATTTAAACAAACTAGGTAGCCCTCCATCCCAACATGTTACAGGCCCAATATCACTTTACAACTTCTTTTCAATAATGAAAAGTCGCAGGGTACTGAATCAGTACCCTGCGACTTTTCATTATTGAGAAGAAGTTGTTTGAAGTGAAAAGCTGATGCCACAGAAACGACGGACTGACGATGGATGCCGCACCACGGCAAAAACTACAAACTATGATGACAGTGTTGTCCCATATTTTTCAATGTTAACAGTATCTAATATCTATATAATACAGAAATTAAAACAAGGTTTATTAAGAAACATTCAAGACACAAAGCATTAAAGAATCTCTACTGCACTTGGCAAAAACTCTACATCACTAGGCTGAACTTTTAACACAAAAAGCAGAACCTTTTATTAAGAACCTACCGCACAAATCTATAAGAAACCTAAGGCATACAAGACAGAACTCAACAAAGAAACTCGGGGAAGCCTCGCCTGATTTCTCCAACACATCCAGAAATAACATTTTTATCACAGTATCATGAACATTATCTTAATTCAAATTTTATTGAAAAATATATTTTGAAAATTTTAAACTTCAAAATTAATTTTTGTCTTAAGTTATATGTCATTAGAAATTTAAGTTGTATTAAGTCAAACTAAATAAAGGTAAGGCCTTGGGTATTACATCATAAGTAACTACAATTTCTGACATTCAAATTGTTCAATTAAGTATTGAAATTTCATACTCATTTTCAACATTTTTAGGATACTGTTAAGATCAATTGTTCTATGAATTAAATCTGAACAAAATCCTTTCTGAAATCAGGCTTCAGCTCGTTAGGAAGTTAATTAAGTTGCAAAATGCAAAAAAAAAAAAAAAAAAACAGGATGAAGTCTTGGCAAAATACACTATTCAAAACAGGAATATTACCTCTTCTTCTGTTTGTCCATCTGGTGCTTCTGTAAAAAACAAATATCACATGAAAATTGATTTGTTATTTCTATTAATTGTTACATGAATGAGGTAACAAAATTCTTAAAATATTTTTTTTCACAGCTTAGTAATGAAAAAAGTTTGAACAAGTTATACTTGTGTCATTTACTTACACATAAATGATAAATGACACTGATATACTGATTTGATATCTAGTACAAAGTTTCACCAAGTTAAAAAATAAAAGACTATCCTAATCACCATTAATAAAGGATTCTTTTTCTATCATACAGAGCATTCTGTTGACATATCTTCTCCAATTCTAGCCAGTTTAATATTAAAGTTATCTTCTTTTGTTTTCTGATCCATGGCGAAAAACTAAATTTTTTTTCTTTTTTTCGTTTTTTTTTTTTTTTTTTTTGCAATTAATTCCAGACCAAAACAGCAAAACTGGAGTTCCATCATTTATCACTTTTGAACATCAATTTCTTCTTATGTAAGTCATATATTGTGCTATCTAACTCATTTTGAAACCCACTTAGTGAATTGGTTAAGAAAAATTTAACCAAACAACGACCACAGAAAAATCTGGTCACACCAATCTCAACATACAATCGAATTCCACCCATAAACAGTATACAATACACAGCCTGTAGCTGAAATATACTTACTTTTACTATCCACAGGCTGTTTTTTCTTCATGGCTGCAAATGGATCCACTCCCCCAAACATGGATACAGCTCCTGCTGGTGGTTTCTTCACCTTTGGTGACTCCACTTTTGGTTCCTCATCTGGTGGTGGTGATGAGCCAAAGAGGTCACTTTCTGAGGAAGGCGATGACCCAAACAAGTCCCCCTGCTTTGATTTGACTGGGGGGTCGTTTTGTAGTGGTGGAGGCTTACGACCAAACAAGTCATCATCGTCTTCATCATCATCCATAGACAAGGGAGAAGGTTTGGATTTTGGCACTGAATTGTTGGCTGGTTTGTTAGGGCTGAAAACGTCCTCAGGAGGTTTATTTGAAGACTTGGTGGAGGTCTGGGGACTAGGTTTAGAGACAGTAAACAAATCATCACCTTCATCCCCAAATAGAGGATCAGCTGAAACCAAAAAAACATTCAGTTTTATAAACACATGAATACACAGCATCCCCATATTATGTTTTACAAAGAATTCTCAAGTATCTGCAGGCCAAAGTGAGACTCATCTCCCCAAAAAAAGTTCTTTCCCATATCTGTGGGTGTATGATTGAGTTATCTCCCTTACTTGTGGGTTTAGAATAAAGTTATCAACATGTAAGATATTTATTTCCTCCATTTTGAAGGGCTAAAGACAGTTAAAAAGTGTATATTTTAGCCTCGTAAATGCATGTATTACAAGTTTTATTTTAGGGAAGAGAAATATTAAAACAACATTTATTGGCCTGTACCTTTTGGAGCGGACTGGGATGGTTTGGCTACCACTGGGGTTTTGACTGGTTTTGGTAGGTCCTCTTCTATAATTTTCTTTGACATCACATCTTCCTCTTCTTCCTCTGATTCACTGGCTGGCCTTTGTTGTTTGTTTGCAAAGGGGTTGATGCCCCCAAGAATTGACACACCTCCTACTGGCTTTCGAGACTTCGCAGGCTCATCTTTCTAAAATAAAAAATGCAAAATCAGTAATTCATATTAACAGAAAGAATTGTGAAGTATTATTATTGGTAGTGTAAAGTCATTTCAATCAAGCTGGATGTATAATTTGCGATTATATTCAGACCTTCGGTGAATCTGTGCTCTCCTCCGTCGTCACCCCAGCCACAGGGAGTGTCGCCCCACTATCTGCACGTACCTGAAATTACAGACTATTATCTGTGACTTACAGTATTTATCCAGCAATAAGTCCATGGCTGGTAATAAGCCCATGCCTGGTAATAAGCCCACACGTATCTACTTTACTGTTTAGTAGTGATAACTTTGTTACTCCATTGTACTGTAACACTATATATCTATATTGATAGCCCCGAGTTTGAGCCAGAGGTTTGGTTTAAGTACTCAGGTTTTGTCCAGGATCAACACACAGCTGACTGTACACGAATATTAACAAACAACAAAAACTTGTTATTTATAAATATTTTATAATTTTGTTGCTTTTTAAGATGTTACACACAGTAAATAGTTGACAGTTTTTAGACCCAATAAGATACAGCTACATACTATTTAGTAAAGAATGCCCTACCAGCCACAACCGGAAGATTACACTATTTAAGAGTTATTTGCTGTGCAAATAGATGTACTTTTGACACAGGGGAAAAAACTGATCTTGTCTGCAGAATCTAATGTAAAGAATCCAAAATAAATATTGCCTGCTGATTTCTTTTTAAAATCTGACTGGAGTCAGGCAAGGGTCTCTAATATTGGTCATACAATTTTCGTGAAAATTCTTATCACAATTCTTCAACCTTGACCTGCATATCATAATTATACAACTACCTACCAAATTAGGGACCTGCATATCATAATTATTACAACTACCTACCAAATTAGGGACCTGCATATCATAATTCGACACTACCTACCAAATTAGGGACCTGCATATCATAATTATTACAACTACCTACCAAATTAGGGACCTGCATATCATAATTATAACAACTACCTACCAAATTAGGGACCTGCATATCATAATTATAACAACTACCTACCAAATTAGGGACCTGCATATCATAATTCTACACTACCTACCAAATTAGGGACCTGCATATCATAATTATAACAACTACCTACCAAATTAGGGACCTGCATATCATAATTCTACACTACCTACCAAATTAGGGACCTGCATATCATAATTCTACACTACCTACCAAATTAGGGACCTGCATATCATAATTATAACAACTACCTACCAAATTCAGTTCTATATCTGTTTAAGAATAAATAAATGGACACAAATCTGTAACAGAATAACAGACAAAGTTAACACTCTAAGCTCCTTAACATGGAACAGCATAGATACAAATATTTATACACTAATAAATCCTATATCAAAACAATACTCCTGTAAGTTCCTGTAATGATTTTATACTGTTATACTCTATGTCACAGTGTTTACACTGTTGTACTCTATGTCACAGTGTTTATACTGTTATACTCTGTCACAGTGTTACACAATACTGTTATACTCTATGTCACAGTGTTTACACTGTTATACTCTAAGTCACAGTGTTTACACTGTTATACTCTAAGTCACAGTGTTTACACTGTTGTACTCTATGTCACAGTGTTTATACTGTTATACTCTGTCACAGTCTTACACAATACTGTTATACTCTATGTCACAGTGTTTACACTGTTATACTCTATGTCACAGTGTTTATACTGTTATACTCTATGTCGCAGTGTTACACAATACTGTTATACTCAGTGTTACACAAACCTTCGGTACAGAGGATCCAAACATATCATCATCACCATCGTCATCATCAAAAAGACCTGATGATGCTTTCTGTGTTACTTTGGCAACCGGGACTTTAGGAGCAGGAGCTGTCTTCGACTGAACAGGCGAACTCTTCTGTAAAGTGTTACGAGTAGATATTGAATTTTTTCACCTTAACTTTTTTTTTTATATCTGAGGCGTTTTTGAGGGGTTTTATTATTTCAGTATTTTCAAGGGTGGAATAGAACTGCTGAAAATAGATACATTTATTGGAAAAACAAGAATATCAGGGGCAAGAACTCTGTTATTAAAGGGTTCAAGCAGTTAATTTGGTTCACTGTACTTTCTCTTAGTATGATTAAATTTCATTATACTTGAAGAAATGAAAGCAAAGCTACGATATGGACATAAAAATTTAACAAAAGACACTAACACTGTAATCAAGGGGTTGTGGGCCCTGACTTTGGTACACTGCACCCATTGTCTTATTATTATCAATGTAAACAACAAGTTTCATTTTCCACGTTAAAATGCAAGCAAACTTATGCTCCAGACATAAAGTTTAACAAATGCCAATAACTCTGTTACTGAAGGATGGCTGGCCCCAAATTAGGTACTATGCACATAACATTATTGTGACCAATGTATACACCAAGTTTTGTGATCCCTGCTTTTCTGTGAGCAAAATTATGATTTGGACATGAAAGGATGGAGAGAGTGGCAGAAGGGAGGAAAAAAATGGATTAACAGACAGACAAAGCGCAATTGTTTGCGAAAATTTTGGGGAACATAAAAAATTTATAAAGAAAGCTATTGACTGTGTCTTGAATTTTGCTAAATATACATCCTTCAGATTTCAGTTTTTGTAAAACTGCAGCAGCTTTAACCATCCAAAAAAGCAATTTTGCAGTCTTTTTTATGTGAATTATTGTAAGTTGTTTAAATGAATCGAAATTTGGAAAACATATTGCACACATAAACAACCACAACGTGAGATTTTAAACCCTGTCACTGTAAAATGTTCAAATGAACTGATATTTGAAAAACATGCGCATTAACACAACCACACAGTGAAACTTGAAACCATTTTAATTCTGAAATGAAATGAAATTCAAATTTGTAATTAAAATTTCACATATTGAAGATTGTTTAAATAGATGAGAAGGAATTATAATTAAATTATAATTTCATTAGCTGTAATCAGGAAAACTCCAAAACACCCTAGATGAATTTATATAAATAAAAAAATATGTTGAATTGTGTGAAGAAACCAGTACCTACATGTATGACAAAAGATCAACACTTACCACCGGTGAGGTACCAGGGGATGCAGAAGAACCAAATAGATTAACCCCCGGGGACTCTTCCTCGGCCCCTCCAAAGAGTACATCCTCATCTCCAAACAAATCTCGTTTCCCTCCTCCTGCAGAAGCTGGTTTGACCTAAAAGAAAGAAACAAAAGGCCCAAGGGCCGTAACAGTCACCAGAGTTACAATGCTGTCATTGTTCTTGTAACATGTCATAGTTATAATCTTGTTAATAAATTAAGATAATTATGATGTATCTGTGATGTAATCGTAAAATGTGTATAACATTGACTGTCATCCCAATTGTTAAGGCTTCTAACCAAGTCTGAATAAAAAGAAATTACTCAGAATAATTTATTTATTTATTATTTATAATCTCTTGAATCCATTAAGAGTATATAACAGATACAATCAAACTGGGTATTGAGAAATGTTTTTTATATTTGCGTCAGAAAGACTCTTTTTGACCCTGCCCCACAACTCCTGGGGTTAGCCAGGGTCAATACGTGTGCATTATCAAACTGTCATCCTATATTAACATTTCTAACCAAACCTGGAATATTTTCATCAGAAAATAGATAAATCATGCTAAAAATATACTTTTCCTATATAAAGGAAAATTTGCCCCCTCCCAACGCGGAAATGGGAGATCATGGAGTCATGAAATTTACAATTTTGGTAAAACAACTTAAGGCTCTTTAATATACTAAAAGTAATTGATTCCTAGGATTGAGAACATGATTTTTGAAATTTCAATCAACTTCCCTGTTTGGCTTTGCTCATCAGGACTCTTGGGGATGGGGTCAATTTGATTTACAATTTAGGTTTACCTTTGGCAAGAGGACTGTAAAATTTCAGTAAAATAAGTTCAGGGGCTTTCCGGAAGAATTAAAATATTTAAAATGTTTATGATATATACCACACCATCACTTTGTCTCAGGTGACCTAACAATAACTACCTTACAGATTTAAATACAGCTTCTTTATTTCAAAAGTCTATTTAGTATATTGAACTTAAAGTGTACCCTGAGAGGTCAGCTATGTTGACCTTGAAAAATAGTTCTGCACACAAAATACACTATGCCGAAAACGCGAATGCCGTGGAATGTTCCGTTACTGAGAAATTGCGACTTTTCTGTAAAACACACCTTTGGCTGAGAGGCGTTGACCTCGTTTTTGGGCACCCAAACCTGTGACGTCATAAGTTCAATGCTTTTGTTGATGCAGCCATATTGTCTTTACTGTGCTACATGTGATTGTGATCTATTTTGGGATTTTCCGTGGTAATTTCTTTGTTTATTTACGTGAAAGTACTTCACATCTTCGCAATATCTAAGGTAGTGAACGAGGGGTCGGTGAATTAGCGCTTAAATCCGCTAAAATGGCTTCCTATCGAGGAGGGAAGCGGTGTGTATGGTTGTCCTAACACTAACACGGATGGGGTGTCGATGCATGACGTCGATAAATAAAACTGATTGTTGATTAAATAAAAGTATATTTGTTAGGTTGATATTTTGTTATTAATTCTACATCTAAACATTTTAAATTGATAGGCTAGCCTATGACTTGGGCGGTCATAGGAATATTATTCCTTCGTAATCGTGAACGCCTAATTCTCGGAGAAGGCCTAGTCGTGAATGGGTCACGGGAATTTTCACCCCGAGAATTTTCATACTACTATTATATAGTATAGAATAGAATTATTAGAATTTATAGAATAGGTTATGTGTGTATGTTGTTTGTATAAGGTGTATTTGGTTTTTAGATCTTCCAGCAGACGATGTTGTTTAGTTATTAATTTTGCGATCGTAAAAATAACAAGAAGATCACCAATCTTGATTTGAAAACACAGTTCACAGTGTAGAGATGTCATCTAAACTCATAATCACACCTGTGCCAGGTTAGGTAATTAGCACCTCTGTGGCTGGAAAAAACAATTGTGACACCTGTGAGGCGACACGCCTGTCGGCTAACAACAGACGCGTACCAGTGCTAGGGTAAAAACCAGTCAAATACTTGTTTAAACTTCTAAAACATCAAATTTTTATTATTAACACAGCGGAGGGTGTTATAATTGGTTGTTGACACCCTATCTATATATATCCATAGTGCTACGAAAATTCCCTGGAAAGAAAAATTCCCCTCGGACGAAACTTCTCCGGTAAGAAAATTCCAGACACCTCGTGAATGTATGCATAGTCTTGCACAAACGCGATTTCCCGACGTCAGAAATTGTTGATCGAGACTTGAAGATAGTAAAATTAGTCCAAAACCACACCCAATTTTATTTTGTTTCTTTGAAACGACGATTCACTGTTCGACTACTTTCACGACTACTGGTGAGACCCAGTGAAGTACGTGCCAATCTATGTTGCCCAAGCGATCGTCACTTTTCGAAGGGTCATTTTCCTCCTCACTGGATACATCGTCTTGTAATTCCAGTTCAAATCGGTAGGGCTGGATTCCGTCTTCAGACATATCATTCACACCATAATCAGACTCCTCAAAACTCATGCTCAAATCGCTCTCAGTTGCGGTGTCGTTGTCACTGTCAGTCATGTTGACTGCCATTTCTGTTGAACTTATGACGTCACGAGTAGAAGAGCCTCGATTCCGCGGAAATGACGATTCGGCTGATTAGGTCTGGGCGGACAGGTGAAAATCGACAACTTTGAGCTTTAATAACTCGACACTGGGGCGACCGATTTTGACGGGGTTTTCATTATTATTATTTTTACGGCATTCTTAACATTATATCTAAATATAAAATTACTCTCAGGGTACACTTTAAGCATGTACAGCCAGGGTAATTAGAGGTGGGATTTCTTTTTAGTAGCTACTAGCTACTGAACAACAAACAGGAGGCCTTTCAGGTGCCATCCAGAGCAATTGGGGTAAATATTTTGCCCAAGGATGAAATCACAACACTACAGACCAATCAATTTCTTACCTTGCTGAGAAACATAAATCACCAAAGGTAGGGAACATCGAACCAACCATCTCAGATCTCCATTATAAGGTTTTGTTGACCTGTGCTCTACAGACTGAGCTACCACAAAAATGTTCCTATTTTTATAATTGATAACAATTGATCACAATATTCTTATAGATACAAGATTGAAGTCTAGTGCTATAAATACTACAGATACTACTGCATAAACCACCAACCTGTGGTTCTTTTGTACCCCCACTAGCTCCTCCTCCTCCGAATAAATCTACTTCCTCTTCTTCATCATCATCAAACAGGGACAGCGGAGATTTTTTAGATACAGCAGCCTGTGTCTTTGGTGGTTCCTAACGAGATGATTAATATACACATTAAACATTTAATAATGTTGCATAATAAATCATTATGTACTCTCAAAAAGTGAAAGATAAACTTGACATTTTAAAAACAAGAGCTGCTGAATCACTTGAAGAAGCTCTTCAAATTACTTCCCTTTGCTGAAATCTTTTTAGGTTGTTTTCATTTATTGGTTTGACCAATTGCATCAGGGTTATTTGTTAAAGTAATAAGGGCAGGCCTACTGATCTTTTTTACTATCTGATGAGCTCCCACTAAGCCCTTCGAGGTCTGTATTAATATTTCCATTGTAAGTTCATCCTGATTCATGCCTGAAATGCTACACTGATAGTGCTGACCAACTGTTTGTCTGCATAAATGGACAAGCTCCAGTTTATAGTTTAATAATGATCATTACATTTATTAAGCCACACAGAACACATGTACTAAAATTAGCTGACCTCAATAGTAACATGTCATCTACAAACCCATATATCAATGATATAAGCACACTGGCTATCTAAGGCTATATATATACAATGTACTGTAAATGTTGTTAGTTTTGAAGGGTTCTATTTTTCTGATATTTTCAAGGATAGAGTAAAAGTCATTTTCATTATTTATATGAAAAAAATGCTGTTTTTGTAAAACTGCAAAATTTTGAGCCATCCAGTGATACAAATAATTCAAATTTTTGCAACTTAACCAAAAGGATGTGATTTTCAGAGAAAAATAATGTATCATCCTTAAAAGTATTTACACTGAGAGCAAAAGAGAGTTTGAAGACAGTAAAATTGATTAGAGTTAACTCACCTGCTTCTGGGCGGGAGCTGGAGCTGGTTTTGGTTCGTCTTTCTTTTTACCCAGAATATCAGCGCCTCCAAACAACGACACACCGCCCACTGGTTTTTTACTGGGTTGAGAATAAGACTTATATACTTTGAAACAGTCCAAGTTAAAGTCCACTTAAACACTATATCACTAAAGTCAAACCCCATAAAAGGTAAGGGGAGGGGGTGGAGACGGGAAATGTCATTTTGACTTTTGAAATTAAATTTGTTTGCTGAGACAACATTTAAAATTAACCTCCCCCCCATCCCCCCCCCCTCAAAAAAAAAAAAAAAAAGAAAAAAAAAAAAAAAAAATGATATTCATTAAATCTGCATATGTTAATTTATTTTACTTTTGCTGCAATATTAATCAAATATTGATAAATCATGCCATGAAAATATAGACGGAGAGAAATAGACAACATACCTTGTGGTAGATTTAATTGGAGCAGCACCAAACATGTCTCCTTCATCGTTATCATCCTCCTCCCCAAACAGACTACCTGACCGAGGCTTATCTGTACTCTGTTACCAATATCATGATAAAAGAAAATTAAGTTTGTTTGGTCCTGAACTATTATTTACAACCATAATCATTATTCATTTATCATAGTATATACTATTTTTATGATATGCAAATAATAAATGAAGACTTTTCTAATCATAAATTTTTACAGAACTTAATTTCAGTACAAATATCTAATATAGAAAACCTGTTTTGGTTACAAGTCTTTCTATTTAATCAAACACACACACAAGTTATAAAACCAAGAAATGTTTTATGAAGCTGCATCAGATTTTAAAGATAAAAACTTTTTAATACATTTGACCCTTGTGACCTTGAAAGTGGATCAAGGTAATTATTTTGGACAAAACTGATTGCATCCTTTCATTAGGACCTGTTACATTCTAAAGCTATGGAAATGGGCCCAGGTGATTCATCTAAATAGGCTTTTACTTCTGCAAGCCTTTGCTACAATATCCTGAGTTATGAAGAACATTTTAACAAAATTGTTTGCCCTTTATTCCAACATGCAAGCAGTAAAGAAGCCATGCCCACATAGGCCTGTGAGTTAAAACAAGAGGTCCACAGGGTCTGTGTCACTCACATGTCTTTGTTTGGTTAAAATTGCTTTGTTCAAATTAAAGAAAAAGGAATTTGTAAAGTCTATATCCATCTCCACTTTAGGATCCACCCTCTGCTGTCAGGGGTCCATCCAACATTTTATACAAAAGCCTAGTTCATCCAAACATACTTCAAACCAAAGTGGGACAGAATCCACACATGCCTACCGAATTCTCTCTCCCCTTTTGAGCTCTGCTTCTCCCACTCCAGGGGACCCAAATACCGAATTTTTTACATACAAATGAGCCCCTTTCACCTAAGGTTGATTCAGACCAAATTAGAACAAAATCATTTCTACATAAAATAAAAGAATTTTAAAGAATTTGATAAATTTCCCCTTTCAGGCCCAGCCCCTTGGCATTATGGCTGTGTAAGCTGGAGCCTCATTCTCAAAAGGATGCTGCTGAACAAATTTTCTCTAAATATGCTCATTTGTTCTTGAAGAGAAGCTTTTCGTAGGAAAAGTTAACAACAGCCAGACTGACAGACAATGGCTGTAATAAATGGAAATAATAAACTCCATACCTTTACTGTTGCTGGTGGTTTCTTCCCCATACCAAACAAGCCATCATCTTCGTCTTCATCCTCTGCAAACAACGATGCTTTTGGTTTGGCTTTTGATTTACTGAAAAATAACACAAATTTTTAAATCTTTTTATTAAAATTCAGGAAATCAAAAAACCTAAGACTAAGCTTCTCCAGCAATTTCAATTTTTTCACAATTATTTTTTGTCTTTTTGAGATTTTATTCCATTTTCCAAAAATAACAATTACTAAAATCCCTCAAAAATAATATAGTGTATATCTTGGCCTTCCAGACAATATGGCAGACATTTTGATTCTGAATAAAGAATATGATTTAACAAGAACCAAAAGGGCACTGGTGTAACTATTTATTATTAGAAGATCAAAATATCTGTATATGGCAATCTGAAAAACCAAACCTCGCCTAGACAAAAGGCCCATGAGCATGAACAATCATCTGAGTAAAAAGACATTTGGGTATACCGTTAAACACAGATTAGTCTATGGGACCAAATGAAATATTTTACTTATCCGAAGGTTCAACTTATCTGTGTTTCTATGAACGGAGACAGTTTGCATCGAAAATTGACCCTTTTTTTATTGGTTGTTTACCGGATCTGTGTCTCAAAGCATGGCATGATGGTAAGTAATTAATAAACAGATGTATTTTGTGTATTTTATAAGTACAAATATAAAACGAAAAATGTAATGTGAAATACTCGTCATTGAATTGCAGCACATGCTGGATACGCACTCACTCTCATACACATAATTTACTGAAATTGATACCTAAAGTACTACATATGTTGTACTCATATTTATATCCTTAAGAGTCCCGTCAACGATATTTTAGAATAAAACTCAATAAATATGTACTCAGGACCAATCTACATTGACGAAAATATTGATAGCACTGAGGTGGGTAATGAAAAGGTGAAGGCTGTGGTATAACTTTAAATTTTACACGTACGGACCGGTATCGTTAGAGCGTAACCGTAAAATAGAATGAAACAAAACTTGCACTTTTTATATGTACATGTATATCCAGTAAATGTATTTAAAATCATCAACAAATGTGTCAATGACAAACTAGTATTTTTATTAATCTGCATCGGGCTAGTAGTTATTGCTTGTTTTTTCATCTGGTTTCCGGCGGCCATGGGCATAACAAAAAATACAGTAGTGTTACGATTAATAGACTACAGTGTATTTTGTTCAAAGTTCTGTATAGATTCTAACTTTCACTTCTGCACCTGTGTATACACAGGGATAGGCTAATGTTTGATTGAAAATTACAAAAGGGCTCCTTAACACAGATATGGCTGACCCAGTACACTCAGTCATTCGGACCGAAGAGACAAGGTAACACCTGAATGTTGGACACCAAAGAGGAAATTTTAGTAAAATTTAGAAGGGACCGACCACAAAATATATTCGACACAAATGTAGTATTCAAATCAACAGTTTCCAAATCATCTGTTTTAAATTTACTAAGATAAAGAAGACATTATATTGTTACGGAACAAAACTTTTTGACTTATCCAATGTATTTGGTTCAAGCATGTACAACATATGTGAGTTTTACTGTATATAATAGAGACTCAATGGGCCTGAATGGTTCACCTGTCAAACAGCTTACATAAAAAGACTTTGTCTGTTCATTAAGTCAATATCTATTAACTTAGAATCTTATTCTAAAGTATGCTACTTCACAAATATCATGACACAAGATCTATTGCTTGTTAAAGAGAGAAACCAGTGACCATGATTATTGATCAACTCTTAATCCAATTATGTTACAGAACCAATATCAATAGTGTGACCATTTAGATATAAAGGAGAAGTTGTTTGAAGATTTAAACATGTCAGACCCTGAGACAAGTGAGTCAAGGTCAATCATGTGAACAAACTTAGCAGCCTTTCATCCCAGCATGCTACAGACCAAATTTCAGCACTCTGGGCCTTTTGGTTATTGAGAAAAATGTTTTAGTGGAAAGTTGATACTCATGGGATGGTGGAAAACAGACAACCAGCAGCACATGACAACAGATGAAACATGATGGCTATAGTGCACTACTCACACATATCTGTTGTACACTAGTTGCTTTAAACTGATAATAACTTTTGTTTTAATGCTTGTCTACTATACAGTATCTTACCTATCAGCTCTTGGTTTAGGGGGATCTCGGAACAAGGCGTCATCTGCATCATCATCAAACAGACTGTTACTGGAAGAGCTCCGACCGTCCTTCTTGACGCGGTCAATTTGTCGTGAGGACAAGGACGACTGTGATTGGCTAGATTTAATACTACTACTACGGGACTTGTTTCCTGCTGAAGTGTCACTGTCTTCTTCCTGGCAGAGCAATAAAAAAGTCACACATATAACATAAATTAATCAACATCTTGGGACCACGATAGCTTGGTTGGTTAAAGCAGTAACCCTATGTAACCTAAGGTTAGGATTCCAGCACTCCCTAGCTGTGGTGGCCAATACATGTACTTAACTGAAAACATTTATAGAACTATATTTATCTGAGAAGTCAACAAAGTCCACAAAGTTTTTGAAGAACTACAAAATCTTAGCTACACAAAAATACATGAATTTACAATTATTAAATGCTAACCTTTGTTTGTTTTTTTTGTTTGTTTGTTTGTTTTAAAATCCCCTTTTAAACAGTTTTGATGGGGATTTTATTATGTAGCTGGTTGCTACCTTATAGAACACCATACAAGAGGCCAGCAACATGTTGTCCAAAGCAACTCAGGTACAATGTTTTACCTGAGGACACATAAATGATAGTAAAGAATGGTTTTAGGTCTCAGCTTCCTGAGAAATACAAACCAGTTAAGGATCTAACTATCTCACCTTGAATCTTCAGCTGACACTGACATCCTAGTTCTATAGATATAAACATATAACATACACGTGTAAATTTTACAGAAGGAAAAGCAGACAATTAGGCTCTCCTGTCACAACCGTAGACCTGACTAGAACAGACCATTAGGTTTCCTTGTCACAACCCTAGACCTGACAAGAGCAGACCATTAGGCACCCCCTGTCACAACCCTAGACCTGACTAGAGCAGACTATTAGGCTCCCCCTGTCACAACCGTAGACCTGACTAGAACAGACCATTAGGTTTCCTTGTCACAACCCTAGACCTGACTAGAGCAGACCATTAGGCACCCCCTGTCACAACCCTAGACCTGACTAGAGCAGACTATTAGGCTCCCCCTGTCACAACCCTAGACCTGACTAGAACAGACCATTAGGTTTCCTTGTCACAACCCTAGACCTGACTAGAGCAGACCATTAGACACCCCCTGTCACAACCATAGACCTGACTAGAGCAGACTATTAGGCTCCCCCTGTCACAACCCTAGACCTGACTAGAACAGACCATTTGGCTCCCCTGTCACAACCCTAGACCTGACTAGAACTGACTATTAGGCACCCCCTGTCACAACCCTAGACCTGGCTAGAGCAGACAATTAGGCACCCCATGTCACAACCCTAGACCTGACTAGAGCAGACCATTAGGCACCCCCTGTCACAACCCTAGACCTGACTAGAGCAGACCATTAGGCACCCCCTGTCACAACCCTAGACCTGACTAGAGCAGACCATTAGGATCCCCTCTCACAAACCTAGACCTGGCTAGAGCAGACAATTATTTTCCCTTGTCACAATCCTAGACCTGGCTAGAGCAGACCATTAGGCACCCCCTGTCACAACCCTAGACCTGACTAGAGCAGACCATTAGGCACATCCTGTCACAACCCTAGACCTGACTAGAGCAGACCATTAGGCACCCCCTGTCACAACCCTAGACCTGACTAGAGCAGACCATTAGGATCCCCTGTCACAACCCTAGACCTGACTAGAGCAGACCATTAGGCACCCCCTGTCACAACCCTAGACCTGACTAGAGCAGACCATTAGGCACACCCTGTCACAACCCTAGACCTGACTAGAGCAGACCATTAGGCACCCCGTCACAACCCTAGACCTGACTAGAACAGACCATTAGGCTCCCCTGTCACAACCCTATACCTGGCTAGAGCAGACCATTAGGCACCCCCTGTCACGACCCTAGACCTGACTAGAGCAGGCCATTGGGTTCCCCTGTCACAACCCTAGACCTGACTAGAGCAGACCATTAGGCACCCCCTGTCACAATCCTATACCTGACAGTTGACTAGAACAGACAATCACAAAATATCTACTTACATCTGAAGCAGGACGTTGTTTCTTGAGGGCAGCAGTTAATGGGTTAGGTCCACTACCAAACATAGACACCGCACCTGGTGGTAGCTGTATAGACAAAAATATCTGGTTATCAAAAACTGTACAAGCACATAAACACAAACTGTTACACTGGAATAATAATTATGGAAAACATTTCTTTTTCAGAGTTCACAATTACAATTAGAATTTCTTACACTACAGTATTTCACATTTTCTCAAATTAAAACAATCTTGTCTTCAAAAAAAAAAACTTCCTAAAATTACCTTACAGAATAAAATTTTTATCAAATTCAAAAATACAAAAATGAATTTCCAATGAAGAAACTTCAATTATAAATAAACAATAATGATAATAATAATAAAAGTCTTTATCTAAACTTGATAACAGAATGAGTCAAAGACTCGTCTACCTTCTGGTCAAGTATACATAAAATGTACAATAATTACAAAAGATAACAAAATTGCAAAATATGATTTGAATAGTCTGTACGGGGTTCGAACCTTTTTGTCCGGTTTTGTTTTCTCTTGTTTCTTTTTCTCCTGTGGTTGTTTTGCTGCAGGGCTCGAGCCGAACAGATCACCTTCCTCATCTTCGTCATCAAATAATGCAGACTTAGGCGGGGCTTTTTCCTTTTCCTTCTCCATTCCTGTTACACAAAATGAGTGCCCCACATTTTAATGCATATAAATATCATTCAGGGCTCTCACACCCCATTTTGGACTGGGGCCCGCGGCCCTTAGAATTGAGAAAAATAGCGGTGTTTTCCTTAGAATTGGGAAAACTTGGGGTTTAAATTGGGAAAAAAAGATACTATTTTGCATTGGAATATTCGGCCCCAAATCTGGCAGATCGAGAGCCCTGTCATTGTTTGGTGAATATGCAGAAGGTGCCAGTGTAGCCTTTGACCCTTTAACCTTGATTGATGACCATCTCAATAGGATATGGTGTAGAACTTGATATCATGTAGTAAATCTGAACCAAATCTATAGAGAGATTCTCACGATAAGATGGGATAGAGCAGGAAAGGATGGACAGATGGAATATAAACAATACAAATCTGAATACAGTAGGACTTTGTCCCTAAAATAAACTATACAATGTCTGGCTGACGGAGTACAAACAAGAAACATAATAACCTGATGTTTTCTTGCTTGATGACGCAAACAAATCTCCAGCATCTTCATCGTCGTCCTCATTATCATCAAAGAAACCCCCACCTCCCCCACCACGGCTGCCACTAGCTTTCTTAGTAGAGGGAGCTGTTATAGATGTTGGCTTTTTAACAGAGTCACTCCTCTCCTTTGTACTGGACCCAAACACTCCACCATCCTCCTCATCATCATCTGTTCCATAATTAAGAGCATAAAAATTAAAACAAAGTTTGTACTGGAATTGTTTACAAATTCTTACTTCAATTCAGGGGTCAGGTTTATTGCTGGACGATAAATCAGCAATACTTTATAGTAATAGTTTTGGGTGGGCTTATTACCAGACACAGACTTATTGTTGGGTATATATGGTACTGATACTGACACCAATCAACAAGAGATATTGTTGAACTGATTTTATCATGTTTGTTTCACACTATACATGGGGTTGAAAGACAGAACTTTCTTACCTTCACCAAATAGTGCCACGCCCCCAGCTGGCTTCTTGTTGGATGTCTTCTTCTTCTGTGGTTTTTCTAACAAAATCAGAAAAACATGGTCAAATAAAACAAACATTTTGTCATTTTTGTTTTTAAAAACAGTAGATATCACCTTGTGAATGAAAAGATTCTGTTGATCAATCACACCTTAGATATAGTAAAATTTAGTTTTTGTGTTCAACGTTATTTAGATATAGGTGTGTAACGATATATATTGGTATACTACAAAAAAAAATAATATGGTACAAAACACATACCTGTATATTGTAATGTATTCAGCATTGTATATTAATTTCTTAAAAATTCCAATTATCATAAATAAAGCTGTAATTTAACTTGAATTGGCCCTGCACTTTTTCTTTAACTCAGATGCTTGTAAGCGTTTGTGAGACCCAGGAAGCACTTGTAAAAATAAAGCATTTGTGAGACCTTGTATCATTTGGTAACAAAACACATTGCTTTTCACATCATTTATCCTCATATCCACTGTGATAGCTTTCTGTTTCAGGACACAGAGACACAATTTATGGCAAAACTATAAAAGGTGATATATTGTGATACTGTCTCAGTGCAGCACAATACATCTTGATATCCTTCAGTTGTACTCTTACACTCCTAGCTATTAACCATTCATCACAAAAATGTCCAATTTAGTTAAACTGAACATTTCACCAGTAATGAACAAATACATGAAGAGAAACTGAATTCAGAAGAAAAAAACAACGGATCAATCAAACAAAAATGTAAGAAGAAACATTTTTTACAATTTGATTGCATTGTAGTTACCATGGAGACAAGAGAAACAGTTACTACAAAAGAAGTAGTTACCATGGTTACAGAAATAGAAACCATGGTAACAACAGAAAAGATTTCTTAATAGTAGACGTTATACAATGTAACTTGTTTACATTTTGTCTTGGTAACTCTTTCATTTCAAATTATGATTTTTTTTAATATATTCTCTTCCAGGAATCAAACATACAACATGAATTTGTGATTCATCTAGTATGAACTATTTCATTAACAATTACAGTTGTATTACACATGACCAAATAGTAATTTTTTCCCCTCATTTTCTGTGTTTATTACCCTATACAGACAGGGTAATTTTACAGGTAAGGTATCTTGCCTGTGGACCTGAACATGACAGCACATACCGGTCATCCTCAGCTTCGGGAAGAGTGAAAAACATGAAGTGTGGTGAGCATTGAACCATATACCTAGGATCTGAGGTTAAGTAGGTCAACACTCTAAGCCTATGACCTATAAACTGGGAACACCCCAGCAGATGGTAGCTAATATCTGACATTTCGTGTTTTTGCTTTGATGTCCATGCAAACACAACAAGCAAAAAGGAAACTACATGTAACTTCTTCAAATAATAGAATAAAACACAAATAGTGTTAAGACATTATCCCTACCTTCCTCTATCACATCATCCTTCTCCACATCATCAAATAGACCACCCTTTAAAGAAAAAAAAAGAAGAATTATTTCACAGAGAGCTCATCCTTTAAAAAAACAAATAATTACTTCACAGACAGCTTGTTCAACAGAACAACAACATTATTCACAGACAGATGAATCCACAGAGCAAGAGGCCCTGAGGGCCTGCAACATTCAGCTTGATATTTCAGCAGCAATTATAGTTCAATATTTTATTTTAGAAAATGAGAAAAAAGCAACTGTGTATAATAATAAATATAAGATGTTTACCTCATCACTGTCGTTGTCAAACATACCCCTACTGGAGGAGAAAAGACCACCAGAGGTACCGAACGGGGAATCATCTTCATCAGGGGCACCAAACAAGTCAGCATCTACAACAGCAATGTTTGTGTAAGTCACTTATTGTCTATCAAAAGGTGAAACGAAAAACACCTTGTATTGTTTTTATCATTTTAATACCACATGAAGGAAATAGCTTATACAGTAAGGTATACTGGTACAAATCTATTATACTCATTTACAAAGGAATGAAACCAAAACCAGTGGCAGAATACATAATTATGAAAACACAGCTGTGAAAGATAACTAAAGTATGCACACTGGCAGTAACTGTATTAATCACAATTATGTTTATATTTATAATCACCTACTTGTAAATTGTAAACAAAAAACCAGATTGAAGACAATATCATGATATGTAGGACACCTATTTAACAAAACTCACCGTCATCTGGCACTTTTTTCTTAGAGGATTTGTCTTTGGTTTTCTTTGCCTTTTTATGGCTGCTCTCAGATTCTGTTCTTTTTTTCCCTTTCCCTGAAACAGAGAATATGTAATGATATGTACAAACATTTTTCTCTACAACAGCACCAAAATGTTATTCTTCTAGATGTCATTTTAAAACCAAAGTTAAAAACCAGGTAAGGTTGCTATCTCACATAGCTATATCCCTTCCCCTGCATTAAAATCTGATCAGGTGTTGATTTTGCTGGAATAATGCTATGGTGTGAATAAAGTCAAAACTAATATTAAAATTTTTTATTTTACTACAATTGCAAAAACAAGTTTTTCCAACTTATGTTAATCACTCTTGATAGCACAGATGGAAGCCCAGGGGAGGAAACATGAGTACCAGGTAAAACCCACATGGTAGGGAGGGGACACTATATGAAAGCCGAGTACATTATTACTCTCTAGACTCATATCCAGGGGTTCAAGAGATATCTTGTCCACAAGGTTATCAAGGACAAACTCACAAAGTAATTAATTACTATACCTCCAGCCACCCCCCCCTTCCCCCTCGGACGTGTAAGTAAGGAGATATATCAAAAGTTAAAACGACCAGGTAAATACATCACTCAAATGGAAGTTTACATTTATGATATAAGGATAATTTGGAGCTGATTTCCTTCGTGTTATTTCTAGAAAAAGTTGGTAACATTTCTAAGGAAATCAAAAATGGCAACAACATGCAAACCTGAGTATATAATGCCACAACTTCGATTTCACTCGTGCATATGTACATAACTACATGGGGAAAATTGCATTTTTCAACTTATTAAAAGCACAAGTTTCTTTTAATATACTGTAATTAACCCACAACAACAATGATTGTCTGAGATACCACTTAACCTCGTAAATTATGCCACTTGTAGACGGTCACAGGTATGCTGCTAGGAGTCGAGACACTTGTGTCAAAAATATGAATGCCATAAGCTTAAATGCTAAGTAATAGCATGCAGTGATTGACTTAGTTGCACGAGTCCTTAAGGTTTTCTATCGCCTTGACTCTATCACTCGGCGTTGTCTCGTCAACAAACATTGGTGATCTGCCATCACAATCTTACCTTTTGTCTTTGGTTTAGGTTCCTCTTCATCGTCACCTTCCTCATCACTCCCCTGTGGAATTATCATGGCTGGAGCACCAATCTTTTTAGCAAGTTCTGATGCAAAGTCTGTTGGTCCTCTTGACTATATTTAGACAGAAAATTTTAAAGTTCAGCTTTGTATTATTTTTTTTTTTTGACAAATCTCCAATGTCTTTGATATCGTCAATCAAGTTTTAAAATGTAGACCAATTACACAATCACTAGGAAAAGTAATTTAATCATACCTAAACTATTCTTGATTAATGCAACCACTCTTATGTAAAGCTCTATGTCACAGGATGTTGATGAACATTTACATAATACATATTATACCCTGTATAGATGGGACATTTACCTTGTATACATGGGACATTTACCCTGTATAGATGGGACATTTACCCTGTATAAATGGGACATTTACCCTGTATACATGGGACATTTACCCTGTATAGATGGGACATTTACCCTGTATACATGGGACATTTACCCTGTATAGATGGGACATTTACATTGTATACATGGGACATTTACCATGTATACATGGGACATTTACCCTGTATAGATGGGACATTTACCCTGTATACATGGGACATTTACCCTGTAGAGATGGGACATTTACCCTGTATACATGGGACATTTACCCTGTATACATGGGACATTTACCCTGTATAGATGGGACATTTACCCTGTATAGATGGGACATTTACATTGTATACATGGAACATTTACCCTGTAATACTGGGACATTTACCCTGTATAGATGGGACATTACCCTGTATAATTGGGACATTTAACTGTATTATCTAGTGTTATAGAGATATATACTCTACCTGTGCCTGTTTTTCTCTACTGATTTCATCCTCTGATTCCTCTGTCTCAGTATCTTCCTCATCATCGCTGTTCCTTCTTTTTTCTATAAACATGTCCTCATCACTCTCATCGCTCTGTAAAGGTAGGAAACTTTAATCTCATTTGTCAGGGTAAAATGTGAGATTCAACCAATTTAAACTGACTACAGAATTACCCAGAAAAATTCAGTTAAACTGTCTTGTTCATTGACACAACCATATCTGCACAGACTGGCTAATTTCTCAGCTTCTTAGGAAGTACAGCCACTGGAAGAGAGTGTCAAACAATGCACCCATGATCTTCACCAGAGGTTTCGCCCGCCAACTCTCTAACTGACTGAGCTATCGCAGTTGCTAGTCTGACAAATCATCAAAATATTATATAAAACTTTGAAGAACTAAAATTACAGTTCAAAATACAGACAAGTTTTTTGGTTTTCTTTCTTCTTTTTCTCTTTTTTTGAATCCTCTCAGAAAAGTATTGATATCAATATCAAGCATTTACACTTACCGAGTTAAAAACAAACAATGTCTTCCTAATCTCATTTTAAATAAATCATTGCATCACGAGATATAGGTCAAAATTAGTACACATAGATACAGCACCGTAGTTAAGTTGATGATGCAAATTGCTGATGGAGAACATTTTAAAGGGACAATCCTTTGTTTAAACAGCTAACACATGCTAAACTATTATTTTTTTAAATTTATACCAAACAATGGATCACACCACCTTTGACATTGGTATGGAAGTGTACTGATAAATACATGTATAATGTATAACACTATCTACCAGTATTATTTATAAGTCTGGTCGAATGAAGATTTTCAAAATGACTCTTGAGACTTTGACTGTGATATTAATCACTCTAGATAAATACTTGTTTTCTCTTAAAAACTTCAATGAACTGTTACCCCTTTTACTAATATGTATGAATATAACAATCCTGTGTAAGTGAATGTTATCATTTTGACAACGACATCAACAAGGACGATGATGAAATCATCACCAATACTGAATATTTATCACTGAGGTTCAACATCTATAAGTCTTCACTGCTGACAAATATATTTCACAAATAAACAAAGATTTTAATGTATATAACGAGTTAAACTGTAGAACAAACCTCATCAGAACTTTCCCTTGTAATTTTTTTGGGAGCAGGCTTTGATTTTGGTGCATCAGAATCACTTTCACTGTCGCTATACGAGTACTAGAGGGGGAAAATAAAATACGAATAAAACAAAACAAAATCAACGTAAACTAAATAACTACAAACAAAATGTGAAGAAATACTACGAACAGCAAATATTCTAAAATAAGGTACAGTAAGTGTTTTCATGGGGAACCATGTTTCACTATTTTTGAGACTGGAATGAAATAATGCAAAAAATACATGAACCTCGACAATTAAAATAAAAGAGACAATATTCTATTTGTCTTCCATGAAAAATATATTGTTTCTGTTTAATTAAAGATTTTGATAAAACCACAACAATGATCACCACCAAAAAAAGAAAAAACGAAAGGGGGAGGGTGGGGGGGGGGGGGGTTAAAAACATGTACCACAAACAAACACAAGAGATAGTTTAATCTGTATATTTAGGCTGATGGTTTGAAACGATTCATCATATCATGATACTTTTTTTGTGATGCATGCCATCGTAACATTAAACCAACATAATATCTAGTCATGAAGTTATTCAGCTGATCCGGTCAAATGTTCTAAGAGTACAATATCTGACAGGAGATAAGAGTTAACACAAGTCTGACTTAGAAGATTCTAACATCACCCTCTAACACTAACGGTGGTAGGTCATTTCCCTGATTGAAACATTCAACAGAATTTCTATATTGCTACATAAATTTATCTATTGTTTGCATTACATAATAAAACTAACATGCACTGACATTAAAAATTCTATTTGACAGTAAATATCTACATCTATCAATAACGACAATCAAATTTCTCACTTCATCGGACGACTCCGGTTTCGTTTCTTCTTCTGAGTCACTTTCACTAATGCTTCCTTGATCACTCTCCTCCTCTTCTGTTAAAAGTCAAAACAGGTTCAAGGTCATTTATCATAAAACATTTTGACAATTATAAAATTTGTACTCAGAGATAATCAGAGGTTAAAAGTGTGATATCTTTACCGACATAATCATAGTACAGGTTAAAGGTGGGATACCTTTACTTAGACAAATCATTTCCCAAACAACACTCCTGGTAGTATATTTGTCAAAATTTACATTCCAAATGAGATATTGATTTTTTTCCTTGTTTGCAATTCAAATGTACACAGAAAAATGAAACAGTTAATGAAAACAGAAATATACTGACCCGATTCTTCCTCTAACAATCCTACATTGTCATCTGACAGGAAGTTTGGTGTTCCAATCAGTAGAGGAAGTGGTCGATTGAGGTACGGATCCTATGTAACAATATAACATCAAAGTGGAAATTCTCAATACTTAAGGTTGGACTTTCTTCTCCTTCAGATCATAACAAGAATCTATATCTAATCTGGAGACATAAGTTCAAACTAAAAAAGTCCTTCCTCACATCTAAAGCTCCATGTTGCTGTATAAATTTGAAAAATAGTACTGGGTAGTGTTTCCTTAGAAAGTGGGATTATTTTTTTCCAAAATTTTAAGAAATTTAACACCATTTTTAAGTAGGGAAACAACCTTTTTCTAAGTGTAAAGCAAAACAAAAATAGCTTTATTTGTATCACCAATATCCTAATTGGAAAAAAATATTGAGGACATAACAGATATCTTTAGGAAATTTGAACTTTTTTAAGATTCTGAATTGATGAAATAGACATATATTTATACGACAATACATATATGGTACTGTCCTGCACTATTAAATATTCTTTTTAATTTGACCTCTGACCTTAGGTTCTAAGATGGGGTCAACTCTATATCCTGTTTCATCATCATCCTCAGAATCAGAGTCAGCAACATGGCTGTCAAGTTTCTCAAAAGCATCATCTATCACATTGATGCCAAGAGTCAAAGCCTCTTTGACTTTGGGGATGAGTTCAGCTTCTTTCTGTTCTCGTGTCTTCTCCTGTAAAAAAAAAAAAAAATGCAAACATAACTCAACTTAAAAGGAAATAGTTCTCTTCAACAATTTTTGGCTACTTTTCCCACCTTCTAACCCTTCAAACCATTTGTAAATGATCATGGATTTTGTTATAACTGTTACATATTCCAGATTTACCACACATTCACTTCCCTAACATCAGTATTAAAAAAAATCTACTGTCTACCATATCAAAGAGGAACTCTCTAGTATTAAAGTTATAAAACAATACCTGGTCCTCTGGTTTGGTTTCTTCCTTAGTTTCTCCCTCTTGGCTCACATCTTCATCATAGACACGCTACAAAGGGAGTGAGTTTCAATTTATATTACATATTACATGCCCATTCAAAGAATTTCATAAAACAGCATGAATACAGATATATTCAATTCAAAATCCTCTTCAGCCATAGAAATGGTCCGAAAAGATTGATGTCTACCAACAGAATTTACGAGTAAATAAGTAAACAAAGGTTTAAAGGAATAGAACTAACAAATATATCTAGCTTCCAATATGTATCTACTTAAATCGCTTTCGAAGTACTAAATGGTGGTCAAGGGTGACCTCTGACCTTTAAAATTGACCAATGAGCACCAAAATTATAAGTGCAGGCTTTGGTGGTATGATGTAAATATGAACCAAATTTATGCAAGGTTCACATGGACACACGAACTCATGCTCTCATAGACAGACAATGAAATTACTACAGAGTCCTCTTATATAAGTTGGAGATATAGAAACATGCACTCCACATCTTCATAACAAGCACAGAGTCATGTAACAAAGTTCCTGGGGGAGGAGGGCTTGTGTAGTAAACCATCAATTTTGTTTTCTTCAACAAGAAATGATGTTACATGCCCTTATGATAACAAGTAAGATCATGTGTTATACCTACATTTTCCACAAACTGTGTATTAGCCAGCATGATAAAGTCATTGAAGACATTGTTTACCCTTACAGAGGTTAGCTGTAACAAAAGAAATAAGTAATTGTCAGACTTTCAACGTCTACCCCTAAATAAGATAATGAAGGTATGAGTGATGATCGCAGGCTAAAATTCTAAGAAGTCATCCTCAGTTTCAGAGGCATACTCCACAAACAAATAAAACATAGATTTTGGCAGTTTCAATGGAAACAAACCATCTCAGTTGATAAATTGCATTCATGGCAAAAAACTTGTCCAAGTCGTAAACTGATATTATATAAAGCAGATGCACACAGATTCCTGAATGGTCAAATAAACCAGAGCCTCATTATTCTTTTTCAAATGTGTTTTACTAAATTAGTAATATGTTATTAACTGTTGCATGACTGTGCATAACTTATGGCTGCACAGATTTTTTTCAATGCATTTATTTCATTTGATATAAAAGATTACTGTTGCATTAGAGATTATACTAAATTAAGATAACCTGTCCTTTGTGAGAGTTTACATTGCTTTCATCCTGTGCTAAACAACAGGTTATTTTTCTACAGCAGTATCACCTTGGAGTCATGCAGTAGTCCATCCACACCTTTTTCAATCTCATGGACTCTCAAAATCATCCTCTGGGAAAATTCTTGAAGGTGAAGTAAAAGCTAAAGTAATCAAATAGACAAGTTTGTAGTGATTTTTTTTTTTCTCAGAGATTTTATCAGACATTCACATTATATACACAACATTACATGTTTGATATACTATGACCTAGGCACACGATACACAATCAAATAACAAATTCAGTTTGGTGAAAGATTTAATCACTGTTTTCAAAATGTAAACTAAAACATAAAATGATAAGCTAACAACCCTATGTAAGTAATTTTCTTATATGATTTGGGAAATACTTTGCATTTAGTTACTTTTCTTATCTTTTACCATCAACTTTTCCTTTTTTTTTCTCTCCATTTTTTCTTTTTCAATGTCTTGGTTTTCCAAGTTACATGATACTAACCCCTGCATCAGCTGCTAAGGACCAATTCCCAGCTTCTTTTCTCATCTCATTCACATCCCAGGCACGCTCCCAGGACCTTTGGCCCCCAACAGGTTCATTACTCTGTCAGATGTATAATGATTTAGTTTTTCACCAAATGCAAAACCATATTAATCATTTAGTAAACTTAAGTACAAATGTAAATATCCCTTGCAAAGTACAAATGGACAATGCTAATGTGCAAAATTACATTATTTTTTGTTACTTTTCATACGATTTGTATTTGCTTTCTTAGAACTGAACTTAGATAGCAACCACATGGCCAATACATTTTCATTTTTTTTTTTAGAACAAGCGCCTTCTTTAAAAAGCTTTCAAGGAATGTACAAAAGAAACACAAGTAAATAGTGTCAAATTTAGATAAGATTCTGTTGAGCCACACAATATAATTAAACTGCATTCTACAACTCATGTCAGTAATGATACGGGACCCAAATTACAAACCTAAGAGGCAAAACTGTGGAAAATCCAAGTAATCAAAAGAAATGTTTTAAAAAATTGGGGATAGGTACTAGCCCCATAATTTGGGAAATTTCGAAAATTTCATCATGTCTGATAATTTTAGAAGAACGTCAAGTACATGTGTTTATATTGAACCTTGCCACTATTTCATGATAGAGAACTTCTGATTAATTTGAGTGTTTGATTACTCTATGCAACAAATAGTCTGCAACATGACTAGATGCGTTCTAACTTCAGCCTATCCTTCAAATTCATTTAGTAAAATAATTTTTACTCGGAAAAGTGTGCGGTGTGGTTTAGCACTGACGGAGCCTTAACCTGATGTCAAAATCAAGAAGTGTGTTATGTCATTACAACATAGATATTAGGATGACAATAAAAACATAGGTGAATAACTGTATTAGACACATGATTATTATGCATTTCATCAGTAGTTCGTACTGTGGCAGCTGCTCCTTGATCCGAACTTGCCAAGTCTGGTGGGGGTGGAACAGGCGACGCCATATTGGAAATTATGACAAATCATGTGACTTTTTACGCTTCCGCTTTCACTTTGAAATCTAGGTCGTTTGGACGTTTCACGGGACGGGTTTTAATGCTTGCATCAACACTGATTCAGAGACGCGGGCAGTACAAAAAATTACAGGTAAAAAGCTTTCTTGTCCAGAATACTACACCTGAACCATAAGATATTCTTAAGCCTATTATTCCAGTCAAAGGTCACTGTGATGTACTTTATTGTTCATGTCGTTTTCATAATTAGTAAAACGACATTTAAATGAAGCATGAACATGAGTTATTCCAGTAGCACTCAAAACTCCAATATAAATACTAATGCTTTGATAATATAATCATAAATGGAAGACAGTGTCATTAATTGCCAGAACATCACAACCAGAGTAATTGTTGTCTGGGTTATTTATTACTTCTACCTGGCAGGGTTTTCCAAAAGAGCCGGTCGCCGGCCAATTTGACCGGCTACTTTAATCATTTGGCCGCATACACCAATCCAGTTCCCTAATAATGTTCCGTACACGACTACACGTGCACGGCAGGCCACCCCCACCTCACCGCGTTGCGGCTCGGGTCGGCTAGCTTCGCCAGCCTCCTACTTTCACTACACAGCCTACTACTAACAAAATTATGGAAAACCCTGACCTAGGAAGCCAAGGAGCTGAGGTACAATGTATGGTTGATTAACTAAAATTTTCCTCCCCATCTGTCCCTTCCTATTCCCTCCTTTTGACAGTTATCTGGCGAAATTCCTCCTTTAGGGATTCTCATCAAACAAATGTACCTTAGGACAGTTCAAGTTTCAGGGTTTTCAGAATCATGGTCACTTTTCCTGTTTTAAGCAAGTTGTCAGTGCTGAAGATGTTTCATTCCTTCAGAGATCAAACTTCACACACTCATACAGAATCTAAAATATAAGTTTGAGTTTCAGAATTGTTGGATCAATGTCACTGGTACTATTTTAGAAAATCTTTGTTAGCACACTAGTGGCTTAAATTCTTAAAGTATTCAAACTTCACACACTTACAAATGACCTTAACACATTATTACACATTGGTGATGAAACTGTGATGTCAGATTGTCATACTTATTTATTGCTTTGTTACAGTAAATTCAGGAACAAACTAACTGTATACTGTTCTTGTATTCCAAATTAATACCAAACAGCACCATCTTTATAAATCATTACAAAACGCTTGCAGGGGGTCTGTAGTGGAATACATGTGCTTCTTGATCATGCAACTCACTGTTTATTTGGTGCACAAAGTGGGTTAAAGCTTTTTTGTGTGTGTACAAATAAAAAGATGTCTTTTTGGTAAAGTTCCTTACTTGGATAAAATAAAATAATGAACTGATGAACTACTGCCAGTCTACCAAACTAATTATAGACAAGGTCACCTTGGCATTACCCTCAATAAATCTGACTGAACTTCTTTATCTCCTTAGACTGTTTCTAACCTGTGTTTCTAACCCAATAATTGATATTGTAACAGAGATTTTTGGGACTAAAATATTGGAGTCCTGGACTCATGCTTTTTCTAGTGGGCTCACTATACACGTATCTCTTAATAATGGGACTCATCACAATTTGGGAATGGATGTTCTAGACTTGCCTTGGGATAAAAAAAATTTAAATATTGTAGCATACAGTCAAGCAGTGGGTAATTACATTTAGGTGACATATAGGAAGATAAAACAGACTAGGATTCAACCAAGGACCTTTTTGTAACCATCAAGCATTGAAACCATCGTAGCTACCAAGCCAGTGATTGTTGCAACTACACAAAATTTACATCAATTAAATTTGTTCTAATTTACCATGAAAATCTTTTTTTTTTTTTTTTAGTTATGGAGGAAACAATTATTTGGATGTGTCTGATGCTGCTTACAGCAGTTTGTGAATCAGAAACCGCACTTAAAACAAAAGAAGTGCTTGTGATTGGTGGAGGGATATCAGGTCTCGCTGCTGCCAGGAAACTGGCCAACCATCCTTCCCAGCTCTATGAGGTAACAGTGCTAGAAGCAAGAAAAGAACGATATGGAGGTCGGATATGGACAAGCAGGAAGTTCTTCAAGAATCCAATTGGTATGTTCTCAGATATTTCTTTCCTTTTCAGATTTGTCCATTTCATTTTGTAATGAAATATAACAAAAATTAATTTACTTGGTTACTGAAGAGGAAATACACACACACACATATATATATATGTATTCAAATAGAAAAGTTGAATTCTCAGTGCCTGGTGAAATATATTAGAATAGCTTAAAACAATACGTCAAATTAAGCATTAGCACTCTCATTCGTAATCTTCATGATGCTGAATGAATTGCCTAGATACAATAATCACTCTTGTTATTACATCACAGATATTGTATCTAGGCAATTTATTAAGCATCATGAAGATTCAGCAATGAAACCGCTAATGCTTAATTTGACGTGTTGTTTTAAGTTATTCTAATATATGTATATATTTACATACATGTATATAAACCTACCATGTTGATTTTAGGGGCAGAGACAGACCTTGGATGTGTCTGGATAAACTCTAAAGAAAAGGACAACCCCATCTCCGCTATTGCAAGGAAAGGAGAGCTAGGAACTAAAATTTCTGGACCTATTCAGCTCCATGTTCCAGAAGCTGGCAAAATATTCAAAGGGGATGAGGCTAATAAAATATTTACAGAAGTTTTCTCTGTAAGAATTTTTTGGAAACATCAAATTTTTTTTAAAAAATTGTTATAAGTTTGTGTCATCTTTTTATGTTTTAAATGACTTTTATCTGGATACTAATTTTATTTCTATTATCATTTTACTTTATTTAGTTGTCAACAGAAAAAAAATTGTAATCAGGGGCTGATTGAAACATGTCAGGGTTTATAAATACATTAAGCTTTTCTATTTTCATAGTATATAAACATACATCAAACTGTATTTTTGTGACTAGATTTTTGATGGACACTAATGGAGTCTACATGTTTCATAAGAAAAGGACTCAGTTTAAAATTCAAACTGTTATGATAAAATTAAGGAAAATTCAATACATAATGTTTTGGAGTTTTATAGAATATATGGTTTGTCATGTGACATCTTTATCCTTGGTGCAGATCATACAGACTGCTGTAGACAAAGTGAAAGTTTCTGGTGTAGATATTCCTCTACAGAAGGCTGTTGAGGACGAAATCGCACGTCATACATTCCAAGGTGACCGAGGTATCATTACCAACATTCTACGCAATCATCATGCCATCGCCAAGGCAGACTACTCTGCAATGCATTTTGACCCAGTGAAACAGTTTGGCTGGAACACAGTGGTTGTCGATGGATATGACCAGGTTCTAGATGTGTAAGGTTTTAAATTTTAACATTAACTGATTTTCAATTTTTAATGCATTGATGCAAGTCCTCTCTGTAATAAACTTAGTGAATACAAATTAATTTAGAATTACATTATAACTGACACCATTATAAGTTTTGTCATCTATTTGGGAATGATTCTGTGTCTAGTAACAAGTCCACCTGTGAATAAATTACAATTAAGTAAAATTACAAACTGATGCTATTTTGAAAACTGTCCTTTAATAAGCCCATCCACTGACTTTACTTTATTATTATTATTTATGTGTGTTTCTGTATATGTGATAATATAAGGAGAATAATTACCTTTCTCTTGATAGCCTTGTGTCTGGTCTAGGGTCAGAGAGACCGCTCTCCATCAACCTTAACCAGATTGTCAGACAGATCCGTATTGATTCAGACAAGAAGAAGGTCATTGTGCGAACCAAGGACCTGAAACAGCTGACTGCTGACCTTGTGGTTGTGGCAGTGCCCATTGGTGTGCTGAGGAACAAAGCCATTCTGTTTGATCCTGTACTTCCTACAGAATGGTACAAGGCTATAAAGGAATTAGGTAATTATGTACAAATCGTTTTTTTCACCCATGATAGAGTGAAGTAATGACCCAAATGACTCCTTTATAATTTGAGGAGAAAAACCTTTAAAACAGAATTTTTAGGATTGAATTATTATTGTTATCCATCGTCCTTTGCTTTTTTATTATATGCTGTTTTTATGTGGCTGCAAGCCCATGTTTGATAACAAGCCCACACATACAGATACAATTTAAACGCATTACACTTCCCTGCTATATGTAGGACATTGTTTAGTGAAATTACAAAATAACATTTTGTCATTGTTCTGAAATAAGCCCACCCCCCTGATTTTGAGTGAGTGAAGTCAAGTTGTGTTCTGTGAGCTTATTAAAGTATATGAATAATGTATGTACTTTACGACATTACGTCTAATTCTTTGAAATGTTTGTGTTGTCCCTTGCCCTCAAAGCTTTGTTGTGAATATTTTGCTGTATTGAAATGTACATCATCAGCATGATAAATAATTCAGGTTATGCATTTTATCGATTTTGGATATTATATTTTTTTATTTTTTTGTTTTGTGTTTGGGGATTTTAAAGATATCTTTGTTTATTTTTTTAGTTTAGAAAATATCATTTATTGCCCCTCAACTTAAAGATTAGGGAAATGCCAGAGTTGAAAGTCCTGGGTTCACTCCCCTTACAGCATGACAATTGTCATAGTAAGCCTCTTTCACTTCTTTAATTCATTTTCTTTTTCATTTCTTGCGATTTGCTCATATACACATTACTGTATATATTGTTATCAATATCTATAACTTCAATTGTATATTTTTCTTTACTGTTTATTTTGTAAATTGATGAAACTATTTTTACCTCTCCTTATTTTTTAAGAAAGCAATTACTTCTGGCAGTTTTGTAAAGGAGAGAAACATCATTCAATATATATGGATGTTTCATGTTAATTCTTGTGTTCTTTGTTGATAATGTATTGTTAACAAATTAAAGAATTTCAGTACATTCAACAGAATTTATATACAATGTTATATAACATGTACATAGTAAATAATGAAGTTTGTGAATATGTGTATGTATCAATTTTTTTTCATTTTGTCATTGTACCCAGTGCACTGTATTATTGCATTGTCTAGTTATATGTTCAGAAGAGCATCGAGTAACCTCCATGCCGCAAGGGATTAAGACAAGGATTATAAACAATTTATAATACGGAAAAATACAGTCTATTTCACAAAAACTCATCACCGAAATTTATTATTATGAAGAAAAGTGGAAAGATAGTAACCTCAAAAGAAAACTGCCTTTACAGATTTCTGCAAAATTTGTTCCTTATTATGCTTTGTCTGTCCATCCGTCCGTCCGCCTGTCATAATTTTGTCCGCAGCATAACACGAAAACTGTACGAGGTATCAACATAAAATCTCATTGGTAGATAGAGCACCACAAGGAGAAGTGTAGTGCACCAGAGCCATCACTCTCTTTTGCATAATTAAGGAGTTATTGCCCTTTGTTATTTTTTCATAGTTAAATTTTGTCTATAGCATTGCACTAAAATTTATAAAAGGTATCAAGATGAAACTTTATAGGTAGATGGCTCTCAACAAGTGGTTGGGAGGTGCACAAGAATCATATTTCTCTTATTGGCCTTTGTTATTTTTCATCAATAAATTTTGTCTCTGTAGGGGAGCATAACCCATCTCTGATGGCCCTTGTCAGTAATGTTGTCATTATTTCTATTTCTTCATTTAAAGGTGTGTACAATTCACAAAAAGTGATCGTAGGCTTTTCCGAGGCATTCTGGCCGACAGATATCGGTGTATTTACCATGACAACACCAGAAGGGCAAGAGCCGTTCATCCAGACCTGGTTCAACATGCAAAATCTGGTTGGTAGGCCGTTTCTGATTGGTTCATTATATGACACTGCAGCTGTGAACTTGGAACAAACACCTGTAGAGGAACTGAAACAAGAAGGTAAACAAATGTGTAAAGAGAACGGAAATCAATAATGTGTATTACTTGATGTTGAATAAGATTCTATAGAAAATTCTACAATTTTATCACAATGCTGGCCTGCATCCTGTATACCAGGAACTTTTCAGCCCTGTTGAATTTTCACAGATTTTTTTTCCATGATCAAGGAAGGTAGATTTAAGATGGATTAATAATTTTTACACCTATATAACACTTTTAGCTAATGCTCAGAGGGCGAAATGAACACAAGGCAAATTTGTGTATGATATTTTAAAAGGCAAAAACGTCTTGATGTTGTATGATCAAATGTACTTTACCTGATTATGTTCCTCCATACATGATAAAAAAAATCTAATAAACAGGATTCAGTCATTTAAACACATACATGACAAAAAATATGTTTGGGGTTCGGAAATTTTAGAGTGGGGCAAGAGGCTTCACCATGGCCATGGTAAAGTGAAACATCACACTATTCTCTAACTGATTAAATTTTTTGCCAGTTTTTTTATCTAATTACCCCAATTCAGTCATTTAAACACATACATGACAAAAAATATGTTTGGGGCATGGAAATTTAAATTTTTTGCCAATTTTTTTTGTCTAATTACCCCAATTCAGTCATGTAAACGCATACATGACAAAAATATGTTTGGGGTGCAGAAATTAAGGGTGGGGCAAGAGGCTTCACCATGGCCATGGTAATGTGAAGCATGACACTATTTTCTGGTTAATTTTTTTTTACCAATTTCATATCTAATTGCATAATTAGATATGTAGTACTTGTTTCTTTATTCTGAATTTCTATGATGAATCATCTGGTGAATTCAATTCTATCTTCATATCTTCTTTATTTCTTCTGTTGAAGTAATGAAAGTTTTAGGGAAATTGTTTGGAGAAGACTTGGTGAGCCAACATAACATGACTACATTGGTGAGATCACAATGGACCAGTGACCCATTCACCTTGGGATCTGGGGCCTACCCAAGGGCAGGTATGTACTTCACAGAAATCCTTGTACTTGGTATCTTACTCACTATGGACTGATGACTTCGCTATTTAATGATGTCAGTGGCTTCTACAATGTACAAATGTAGTATATTCAGAACTCACAGTTCGGTTAACACTTAATAATGAGGTCTTGACAGGTATGAGCTCCCAAGTTTGTTTGAACATCAGTATATAGTAATATAATAGTGATTTGTGGGGTATTCTCTCATTTATCTGTATATATATTTCTGCTTTATCCAAAGGCCTGTATACTCATGTAAAGTCTATTCAAACATTTATTGTAAGAAATGTGGCCATCATTTGCCGAAGCAGGATATTCTGAGCCCTGCAGTCAGTCTGTACTGTGTTTAAGATTACACTGTTGGTTTGTAGGATGTTCTGAGCCCTGCAGTCTGTCTATACTGTGTTTAAGATAATACTGTTGGTTTGTGGGATGTTCTGAGCCCTGTAGTCTGTCTATACTGTGTTTAAGATAACACTGTTGGTTTGTGGGATGTTCTGAGCCCTGTAGTCTGTCTATACTGTGTTTAAGATAACACTGTTGGTTTGTGGGATGTTCTGAGCCCCTCAGTCTGTCTATACTGTGTTTAAGATAACACTGTTGGTTGGTGGGATGTTCTGAGCCCTGTAGTCTGTCTATACTGTGTTTAAGATAACACTGTTGGTTTGTGGGATGTTCTGAGCCCCTCAGTCTGTCTATACTGTGTTTAAGATAACACTGTTGGTTTGTGGGATGTGTTGAGCCCCTCAGTCTGTCTATACTGTGTTTAAGATAACACTGTAGGTTTGTGGGATGTTCTGAGCCCCTCAGTCTGTCTATACTGCGTTTAAGATAACGCTGTTGGTTTGTGGGATGTGTTGAGCCCCTCAGTCTGTCTATACTGTGTTTAAGATAACACTGTTGGTTTGTGGGATGTTCTGAGCCCTGTAGTCTGTCTATACTGTGTTTAAGATAACACTGTTGGTTTGTGGGATGTTCTGAGCCCCTCAGTCTGTCTATACTGTGTTTAAGATAACACTGTTGGTTTGTGGGATGTGTTGAGCCCCTCAGTCTGTCTATACTGTGTTTAAGATAACACTGTAGGTTTGTGGGATGTGCTGAGCCCTGTAGTCTGTCTATACTGTGTTTAAGATAACACTGTTGGTTTGTGGGATGTGTTGAGCCCCTCAGTCTGTCTATACTGTGTTTAAGATAACACTGTTGGTTTGTGGGATGTTCTGAGCCCCTCAGTCTGTCTTTACTGTGTTTAAGATAACACTGTTGGTTTGTGGGATGTTCTGAGCCCCTCAGTCTGTCTATACTGTGTTTAAGATAACACTGTTGGTTTGTGGGATGTGTTAGGCCCCACAGTCTGTCTATACTGTGTTTAAGATAACACTGTTGGTTTGTGGGATGTTCTGAGCCCCACAGTCTGTCTATACTGTGTTTAAGATAACACTGTTGGTTTGTGGGATGTGTTAGGCCCCACAGTCTGTCTATACTGTGTTTAAGATAACACTGTTGGTTTGTGGGAAGTTCTCAGCCCCTCAGTCTGTCTATACTGTGTTTAAGATAACACTGTTGGTATGGGGGATGTGTTGGGCCCCTCAGTCTGTCTATACTGTGTTTAAGATAACACTGTTGGTTTGTGTGATGTTCTGAGTCCCTCAATCTGTCTATACTGTGTTTAAGATAACACTGTTGGTTTGTGGGATGTTCAGAGCCCCTCAGTCTGTCTATACTGTGTTTAAGATAACACTGTTGGTTTGTGGGATGTGCTGAGCCCCTCAGTCTGTCTATACTGTGTTTAAGATAACACTGTTGGTTTGTGGGATGTTCTGAGCCCTGTAGTCTGTCTATACTGTGTTTAAGATAACACTGTTGGTTGGTGGGATGTTCTGAGCCCTGTAGTCTGTCTATACTGTGTTTAAGATAACACTGTTGGTTTGTGGGATGTTCTGAGCCCCTCAGTCTGTCTATACTGTGTTTAAGATAACACTGTTGGTTTGTGGGATGTGTTGAGCCCCTCAGTCTGTCTATACTGTGTTTAAGATAACACTGTAGGTTTGTGGGATGTTCTGAGCCCCTCAGTCTGTCTATACTGCGTTTAAGATAACGCTGTTGGTTTGTGGGATGTGTTGAGCCCCTCAGTCTGTCTATACTGTGTTTAAGATTACACTGTTGGTTTGTGGGATGTTCTGAGCCCCTCAGTCTGTCTATACTGTGTTTAAGATAACACTGTTGGTTTGTGGGATGTGTTGAGCCCCTCAGTCTGTCTATACTGTGTTTAAGATAACACTGTAGGTTTGTGGGATGTGTTGAGCCCCTCAGTCTGTCTATACTGTGTTTAAGATAACACTGTAGGTTTGTGGGATGTGCTGAGCCCTGTAGTCTGTCTATACTGTGTTTAAGATAACACTGTTGGTTTGTGGGATGTTCTGAGCCCCTCAGTCTGTCTATACTGTGTTTAAGATAACACTGTTGGTTTGTGGGATGTTCTGAGCCCTGTAGTCTGTCTATACTGTGTTTAAGATAACACTGTTGGTTTGTGGGATGTTCTGAGCCCTGTAATCTGTCTATACTGTGTTTAAGATAACACTTTTGGTTTGTGGGATGTTCTGAGCCCTGTAGTCTGTCTATACTGTGTTTAAGATAACACTGTTGGTTTGTGGGATGTTCTGAGCCCCTCAGTCTGTCTATACTGTGTTTAAGATAACACTGTTGGTTTGTAAGATGTTCTGAGCCCCTCAGTCTGTCTATACTGTGTTTAGGATAACACTGTTGGTTTGTGTGATGTTCTGAGCCCCTCAGTCTGTCTATACTGTGTTTAAGATAACACTGTTGGTTTGTGGGATGTTCTGAGCCCTGTAGTCTGTCTATACTGTGTTTAAGATAACACTGTTGGTTTGTGGGATGTTCTGAGCCCTGTAATCTGTCTATACTGTGTTTAAGATAACACTGTTGGTTTGTGGGATGTTCTGAGCCCTGTAGTCTGTCTCTACTGTGTTTAAGATAACACTTTTGGTTTGTGGGATGTTCTGAGCCCCTCAGTCTGTCTATACTGTGTTTAATATAACACTGTTGGTTTGTAAGATGTTCTGAGCCCCTCAGTCTGTCTATACTGTGTTTAGGATAACACTGTTGGTTTGTGTGATGTTCTGAGCCCCTCAGTCTGTCTATACTGTGTTTAAGATAACACTGTTGGTTTGTGGGATGTTCTGAGCCCCTCAGTCTGTCTATACTGTGTTTAAGATAACACTGTTGGTTTGTGGGATGTTCTGAGCCCTGTAGTCTGTCTATACTGTGTTTAAGATAACACTGTTGGTTTGTGGGATGTTCTGAGCCCTGTAATCTGTCTATACTGTGTTTAAGATAACACTGTTGGTTTGTGGGATGTTCTGAGCCCTGTAGTCTGTCTATACTATACTGTGTTTAAGATAACACTGTTGGTTTGTGGGATGTTCTGAGCCCCTCAGTCTGTCTATACTGTGTTTAAGATAACACTGTTGGTTTGTAAGATGTTCTGAGCCCCTCAGTCTGTCTATACTGTGTTTAGGATAACACTGTTGGTTTGTGTGATGTTCTGAGCCCCTCAGTCTGTCTATACTGTGTTTAAGATAACACTGTTGGTTTGTGGGATGTTATGAGCCCTGTAGTCTGTCTATACTGTGTTTAAGATAACACTGTTGGTTTGTGGGATGTTCTGAGCCCTGTAATCTGTCTATACTGTGTTTAAGATAACACTGTTGGTTTGTGGGATGTTCTGAGCCCTGTAGTCTGTCTATACTGTGTTTAAGATAACACTGTTGGTTTGTGGGATGTTCTGAGCCCCTCAGTCTGTCTATACTGTGTTTAAGATAACACTGTTGGTTTGTAAGATGTTCTGAGCCCCTCAGTCTGTCTATACTGTGTTTAGGATAACACTGTTGGTTTGTGTGATGTTCTGAGCCCCTCAGTCTGTCTATACTGTGTTTAAGATAACACTGTTGGTTTGTGGGATGTTCTGAGCCCCACAGTCTGTCTATACTGTGTTTAAGATAACACTGTTGGTTTGTGGGATGTTCTCAGCCCCTCAGTCTGTCTATACTGTGTTTAAGATAACACTGTTGGTTTGTAAGATGTTCTGAGCCCCTCAGTCTGTCTATACTGTGTTTAAGATAACACTGTTGGTATGTGGGATGTGTTGGGCCCCTCAGTCTGTCTATACTGTGTTTAAGATAACACTCTTAGTTTGTGGGATGTGTTGAGCCCCTCAGTCTGTCTATACTGTGTTTAAGATAACACTGTTGGTTTGTGGGATGTTCTGAGCCCCTCAGTCTGTCTATGTCACTATTTTAGATAATGTTCCTGAGTTGTGGGACATTTTTGTGCTGTAAAATCTGTCTATGCCTGTATTTTAGGTAATACTGAAGAGTTGTGGAACGTATTGAGCTCTCCAGTTTGTCCATACCTCTATTTTGCTGGGGAACACACAAGTCTGGATGGCATGGTTGGATCGCATGGATCATACAATACAGGGATCAGGGCTGCTGAACAGATTCTTAATGGCCGATGTGAGAGGGAACTCAAACGACAGCAGAAAAAGAAGGAAGAGAAAGACAAAACCACAGGAGACAAAAATACCAAAAAAGATGAATTATGATATTGTAATTTTTTACCTTATCTATTCATTTGAAGCTCACCTGATCCAATAGACTGGTGAGCTTATGCCATGTCGCAGCGATTGTCGTCTGACATCCGTCCATTGACTCTTTGTACAATTACCACATGTCATAAACAATAGATTTTGACAAAATTTGGTCTGAAGTGTCATTTGGTGAAGGAGAATCAATTTGGTATGAAAGGTGGGTCCCTGAGAGGGATGAGGCCCAAAAGGGGAAATATGACAAATTCTTCAAAATCCTTTCAAGACTTTTACCAAATTTCTGTGAAAGGGGAACTCCATTTGTATAAAGGAAGAGTCAGATACCCCTGAAACCAGATAGATGGGGTCAAGTTAGTGAAATAGATGGAAGACCGTCTTCTTCTGTTCTGATAATGTATCATTTTGATTAGTTTTGTCTGAAGCATCGTGGGATCATAGGAATTTCATTTGGTATAAACTAAAGATACAGGATGAATCCAGTGGGATAAATATTTCAAATACTTCCCCAAATGTTTGGATCAAGCAATTATATGACCATATCAAACCAGGCAAGCGATACAGACACCATGGACCTCTTGTGTATATGGTTTTCTTTTGATCATTTTTAATTCATTTTTTTATTTGTTTTTGATGGTTCAAACTTGCAACTTCATACTTCATACAACATTCTTCATGTGTGAGGAAATTAATGATATTTTACATCTATATCATGAAACACTTATGTGTCTTTTTATTGTTATGTCTCGTCTGTCCATTCATCTGTCTTTTTATTGTTATGTCTCGTCTGTCCATTCATCTGTCTTTTTATTGTTATGTCTCGTCTGTCCATTCATCTGTCTTTTTATTGTTATGTCTTGTCTGTCCATTCATCTGTCTTTTTATCGTTATGTCTCGTCTGTCCATTCATCTGTTTGTGACTGTCTGTCCATCACATCCGTATTCATACTTCTTTATACTGATAACTTTTTCTTGCTCATTCTTTAATATGCCATGATTGGTCAAAGGTCAAGGTCATATTCAGAATTTCATCATCACTCTGTTTTTGTTATGTTAAACAGCAATTAAGTTCAATATAAAATGCCTTGATATTACGTCTTTATACAATATCACTGTACAAAATTACTGTAAAAAATACTTTTTAGTAAGAGAAACATAGATTTACAGAGAACGTTGGTAACACAGATTTATTGAATGTATGTAGTATTACGCTCAACAGACTTAACAAAATTTCACAGAATCACAAGATTCCTTTTTTTTAGCCTGTTAACAATTTTTTTTAAAGTTTCAACTTCTGTCTTTATTTATATTTATTGGGACCTTCTTCACATTCCTTTTCTTTCCATTTGAAATTATTTATCAGTGTCTCTAAGAATGTATCTGTTAATTATCAGAACTGTTAAAGTGGGTAGTTCACACTGCTATTGTCCTGGTTGTGATATTTCAGTGTGATATGACAATGATATGGCTACTTGAAGGTCCCCATCCAGTACCTTTATAGGCTTTTACTCATGTGAGTCCAGAACATTATTTTACTCATATGAGTCAAGAACATTATTTTACTCGTGTGAGTCAATCATATTATTTTACTCGTGTGAGTCCAGAACATTATTTTACTCATGTGAGTCCAGACCATCATTTTACTCGTGCGAGTCCAGAATATTATTTTACTCGTGTGAGTCCAGAACATTATTTTACTCATGTGAGTCCAGAACATCATTTTACTCATGTGAGTCCAGAACATTATTTTACTCATGTGAGTCCAGAATATTGTTTTAAAGCTTTGATGAGTCCCATTACTAAGAGACATACTGGGATCTTTAAATTTGATGGAGTCCCAGAAAAAAGACACAAAACTAGGGCCCATATTCACAAAACTATTCCCATGCTCATGAAAGCTTTGCCCAACCAAATTTTCTTTAAACTTGTATTAGGCATGAAAAAGCGCTGGTAAAGAAAAACCTAATCAATGAAAAGAAATGGAGTATTTCAGAAATCCCTTCAAATCATTGAAAAAAAATTTAAGATGTAACTAAAAGATTTTGAGTCTGAGCACAAAATGTGTATTAGATATCTGAATCTCAAAATTACACCCATCACTATTGAACACCATCTTGTTTTGACCTCATGTGATATGGGATCCAAAAAGTGTGATAATAAAATGGGATACTACTGAAAAAATTGTGTGGTTTTGTTGCAAAGATGCACAAAAAAATTTGGCAAAACTGACTTTATCATTCATTACTTCAAAGAACATTGTTTTTATCACAGTTGTATATTTGCTGCTAATATGACACGACAGCAGCTATAATTCAGAAGATTCCATGCCCCTTCCCAGTTGTTATGTGTTATTCCTGTCTTTATTCTGGGCAATTAACTTTTGATAATTTGTTCTAACAATGAAACTTGCAGAAATAGATATCATGTGGTAGAAAGTTTGTTTACATCATCTCACAGATATTGTTGATCTGAGATATAAAACACAATCGCATCTTAATTGTCAATCAATATGTATATTTTTTATATCTGACAATGCCATTTATTGAAATTCTTTTTAACCAATTTTTAATTTTTGTGGGTTTTTTTTTTCCTTCAAAATTATGATATTTCCTCATAGACATATTTTTGTTGTTTACTTTAAACACAGAACAGGTAAATCGACAACAAAAATAAGTCAAAGAGGAAATATCATAATTTTGTAGCTAAAAAACACAAAAATTAAAAGTTGGTTAAAAAGAGTTTCAATAAATTGTTTATATGTTGTTTACTTCAAACACAGAAAAAATGAATAGACAATATTTAAATGAAGACAACTTTAAAAAAAAAAATTCCCAAATACGATTGCTGCGAGCCTTAAGTGTCTTCTCCTTCAAATTCAATGACTGTATATTGCTGATTTACATATTTCTTTGATGTTCTGATTTTTTGTTAGCTTCAGTGATAGGAAATCAACCTTGAACTATATTAGGTGTCACAGGAGAATCTGTTGAAAAGTTTTTTGGTTTGTAATTGGTTTTTTTTTTTTTTTCTAGGGTTTGAATTTATCTGCACACTTCTGGATTAAAATTTTGCTGGCAAAAGTGAATTGCAAATTCATTAAAGGTAAAATGATTGATAACAAAATGAAATATTCACTCCTAAATTCAAATGCATTTTCTGATATTGAGAAACCTATGTAACTTTTTATTATTGTTATTTTTTTATTTTGCATTTCTTAACAAGCTTATGGATTTCAAAATCCTATTTCAGTATTTTCCATTTAATGTAGGATTTTCTGTGTGTTTTCAATTGAAACTCAATTTTAGGGTGCTTTTTTGCTGTTATTAACACTGCTTATAATGACATGCAAGGGTGCTGTTATTAACACTGCTTATAATGACATGTAAGGGTGCTGTTATTAACACTGCTTATAATGACATGTAAGGGTGCTGTTATTAACACTGCTTATAATGACATGTAAGGGTGCTGTTATTAACACTGCTTATAATGACATGTAAGGGTGCTGTTATTAACACTGCTTATAACGACATGTAAGGGTGCTTTTTGGCTGTTATTAACACTGCTTATAATTACATGCATTTCAAACTTAAGTATACCTGCGTAAAGCATTTTTTGTATTCTGGTAGGTGCTTCAGAACGGTATATGAGTTACCTCCCCTTATGCACTGTTTTTAAAATATTGTATCGCCAGAATATCATGCATATACTTAAATCACTGTTGTTTCATACCAACAGAATTGTGATTTGTAAACTTGAAGCATGGGGTCACAGTCAATTAAGTTTTATAGACATATAAAATATAAATATAAACTTCAAGTGAAGAACTGAGGTGTATGGTTCAATACTCCATATTCATAGTGTTTTGTTTTTACCAAGGAAGCTGAGAAATGGACCTATCCTTGGGCAAGACACGTTACATTAATTGCTTTGGGTGGCACGTGATGGGTCTCATGTATGTTGTTCAGTGAGTTAGCAACCAGCTACTTCAGCAAGACTCTGCTACAAATTGACCCTGGAGGGATAAACTTAGATAATGAACCAATATGAAGCCCAGACACTATATCAGTTGGCCTCCGATCATGAATTGGTTCTCCATAAAACTACATGCAAATCTTATACTCTTGTAAAAGAGTGTGAGAGTTAATGAAATTTTACGTCATTAAGTTTATAAAGTCTGTCTTCCAAGTCCAAGAGTCATTTCATCATTTCTAAGAAATGACGACCATGTGGCTCCCCCAAGTAGTAGGTAGTACAAAGCCCAATAGGGAATAATTTGAGCATGAAGGATTTTAAATACATGTAGATTCAATATGAATCCTAGATTGTTTTATAGGCAAAAATAAAGTGCTTATTACGGGAAATAAGAAAATGCAATTTTTCTGACAAGATTCTATAATGGCTATTTGGACTTGGAGGACTGAGGGTGTTTTTGACTTTAAAAAAATGTCGTTGTAGAATTTGACATTGTTTTTAAAACACAGGGCTCATAACTATCATAAGGAAGTTATAGATCAAATATGGCCTCTTTAATTCATTTTTAGTCTGTAAAATCAAAGATGGCTACCAGGTCTTTTTTTTCTTTTTTTTTTTGACTTTTATAAACTTCGGATAATATATACATTTATGATAGAAACACAGGCCATGTAGGCCTTTTGTACAATATATTTACATATTTCAGGTATATATATATATATATGTTTGTGTGGCATATGCTACAAACTGTAATAAGTTTTATATCATGAAGATAAACACATTTATATTGATATATGACCGACTGTAAAGCTGATTAAATTATGAGCTATAAAACTAGACCTTTTCTTTCTTTTCTTTTATAAATACAAGCTGTTGGCAAAGAATACTAGGAGTTCATTAATATCTTATTCATATATTGATTTCTGTACCTGATATCTAGTTTAGATGTGACATCTACTACCTATAAACCAAAAGGTCACTGTCTCTTGGACAGAAGTGTGGTTTGTAGATCTAGGACTCCAGTTATC